AAGGCAATCAACTCACACAGTCTTGTAGACATACCAGTCTCAATAAACATATTTACGAGTGCATCTTCCCACTTGTGGTGTTCCTGAGTGTTTACTAACCAGCAGCTTTTTGGATGGCCCTGCACTTTTGCATGCAAGTCTAGTGCACTGGGTTTAGGCTGCACCGCAGTATTAAAGGACTGTAGTGGTGTCACCATAGACTGTATATACTATTGACAACTTGGTTCCGCCTCCCGCCTGTATAAAGATTTGAAGCCAAAAAGCTCTCGGTATTTCCGGGATTTTTCTTCATTTCCTGAAACCAGTGCTGCGCAGTAGCGATGCGCACATTCGGCTGCGCAGTCGCAGAGAGTCACTGTGATGACGCTCGGCTCAAACAGCGTATCTCTCCGGAAGAGCTACGCAATCCCTGAACGCCCATAAGCTGTACCAGGTATCAATCACAGCAAACATGAACCCCCTAATAACTTTTAAAAACGGAGCTTCACAGAAAAAAGAGGACTTGAGCACAAACCAGTCTGACAATAACTACATGTCAACATCACAACCAGGGGGGAGAAAAATTTATATTCTGTGTAATAAATTTCTAAAGTTTGTCCACAGCTCTATAAGCTTTGCTGGCAGAGGCCTGATTTATGACCTATACTGCAGCTCATCAACAGCACTCCCACACTTAACTTTTCTTTGTCAACCTCTCTTTTGAGTAAGTAATAAGTGGTTTTCCTTCGTGTTGATTATTTTGAGGGATTGGAAGTTAGTGTTAGGTGGTTTAAGTGGTTTAAGTGCTTGTATAAGGCCTCTTAGAGTGGATAAAATTAATGGACCACTTTAACTTCCTTGAACCAATCTCCTGTATGATTTCTTGTTTATCTATTTTCTGTGTCTTCAGTGTCATACTTGTGTGCCTTGTATTGTAAGAGAGGTGTTCAGATTATGGTGTAGTCTAGTTGCTGTTGTGTAAGCCCCCAGATGGCGTTGTTGGTTTAAATTTGATTTATTACCACCCAGCCATACTTCCACACGTCACCCTCTGTGTGCTATTCTGTGAAAAATTAGAGGTTATTTGAGGAATAAAATAAGGTTGTATTTGGTTTGTATTTTGTGAGTCTTGCTTCTTCATTACAGGACACTGTCTTACCCAGTGTCCAGTGTCTTGACAGTAAAGGCATGTCTCCCATCTTCCTCATCCTCTCCTTTCTCTTAAAATCTTCACCACTCTGATTTGGCTGATAATTAGTTGTTCCTTATAGACGGGGTCTGTTTTGATCTTGGTTTCTGTCCGCCTTACTCCTGAGGGCGCTACTGTAGGCCTTTTTACAATAATAGGAGAAACTATAGGCCAATGATCATAAATGTATAACTGGAATAAAATTAAGTTAGTTTGCTGTAGTGGCGAATCTTAATGACTGAGCAGTAGTTTTGAATTTAAAATACCTCACTGCCTTATTTTTAATGTAGGCTAGGGTTTTATTGAGTGTTACATATTTGGAAATGCCTCTATGTAGTTCAGGTACGTGTTGCACCGTCCGTAGTGATGGGCACGGCAGCTCTTTTAGATGTACTGAATCACTAGAATCAGTTCACTAAAAAGATTCGTTCAAAAGATTCGTTCATCGAATCACCGAATCATTTCGTGCTTGGTGGGAGGAGCCTATGACTCAGACCTCCTGAACTGATACACAGCTGAACGGTTCAGGATTCAGTTCAATTCATGCGTAGCTTCTGGGACCAGGAGACAAGAGTGTTAGTCTGCGTTGCTTTGGCAAACAGGTTTGTAAAAATGAACTTGTTTATAAGTTATGATGTTTTAAGTGTACTGTCCTGTGGTTTGCTATTTATCAGGTCTGCTCAGTAACTTGGGCCCAGTGAGTGATTCGTTGACTTAACATTATTTAACACTATTTGTTACATGCTGTGTCCTATTGTATGTAAGTTGTTGTGGTGGCAATTTAGCTGTAAAAAATAAAAAAAGTTAGTTTTGTCCTACAAAAATGCTTCTATAGAGTGTAGTTCAATGTGTGATTCCTTTACCAAGTGATTCAGTCATCAGTGCATGCAATCCCTCTTTTGCCGGCTGCTCGCCTGGCAATGCTGCCTGCTATAGCATCTGCCTGCTGACAGCTCAACTGAAGTGAGAAACAAACAAATCACTTGAGGAAGTGATTCGGTTCAGTATGTTCACATAAAAGATTTGGTTATTTTAAACCAATCGTTCACGAAAGACACAACACTAACCGTCCGCAGCTCTACTGGCAACCAGATGAAGTTGAGCAGTAGGGTTAGGTATCGTTTGATTTTGAACGATTCCGATTTTGATTCCTCATTGCGATTTCGATTTCGATTCCTAACGATTCTTCATTTCGATTCTTTTAAAAGGCAGGATATCCTAAAAAAAAAAAAAGCATGGTTTGAATGAGAGTGCCAACCGTAGTTCTTCTTTTTGGAGGAAATTTCTGAACTTCTCCATGAATTTTTAAATCATATTAACTTTTTAAGAACTTTACTATGAATTTCTCACAGGGCTATTTTCAATCAGTATATAAATATCAACTTTTGTTGTCAGGTCGTTTGTCTATGAAAAAGTACAAGGGCTAACGTTAGTTGGATATTTAAGTTGACCCACCGCACTCAGTGCAATTTGTTTACCGCTTCAAAGTTAGCAGAGGACAGAAGTCATTTATTGTTTCACTTATCTGATCCTGACTGGTTAGCGGAAGACAGGTGTTGTTCTGTAGAATGCACCCCTGCCGTAGAATGCCTCCCCTCCACTGATTAGCTTCTTAAAGTGGAAGACAATGATCTCATATTAAAAAAAAAAACACGAGTATTAGATCATGACAACATGTCAAATGGAGCAGTAAACTTTCGTTTTGTTTTTCATGTGTCTCAAAAATGCACACATAGAGGTGTACTTGGGTATATAAACTGTACAGTTAGCTGTTAAGGTAGAGAACATTATATTTTCGGGACAGTAAATATTCCGAATCAGAGGGCTATTGTTTTCGGCATATCTGAATAGCCTCAATGAAATCATTAAAGGCACACGCTTTAGATTCCGTCCAACGATAAGAAAAACTTGGATTGTTTCGCCTTGTTGTGTACTTTCAACCGCGCTCCCGTCAGGGGTGCATTCAACAGCAGGGGTGCATTCTATGGCACAACACCGACGAAGCGCGTCAAAGACGAGCACTCAGGTATTTCTCCTCCATGAATCCTGAGGTGTTTAATCATGTTGGTCGTTTACCCTCCATTGCATGATATAACTGTATTGCTAATGTTGCATTGAGATAAGAGTTCATTCTTCCTGCTAAAGTTAGCCAAACTTTTGACCAATGAAGAAGAAGCTGCCGAACACCAACGAGGACGGAGCGTATGAGACGAAGTCACACAGAGAGAGGAGAGAGACAGAAAGAGAGAGTACATTGTAACCCACAGCGGCTGCATTGCTGTGGGTTGCAATGTACTTTCTTTCTCTGTCTCTCTTCTCGTCTCATACGCTCCGTCCTCGTTGGTGTTAAGCGGCTTCTTCTTCGTTGATTTTCGGCGGCTATTTCTTCCAGTCGGCGGACTCCGGCATTGAAACTTGGAATCGAAATTTTAATATTTGAACGATACCGGAAGAATCGAAATTTTAGTCCCGGTCCCCATCGATACTCGATTCTCGATACCCAACCCTATTGAGCAGTACTTTGAATATGCACCCAAAACAAGGAGGATGTGTTCCTGTGACCCTCGATACAATTTTAGTCATCTGCAGGGCTCTCAAGTTTTGAACTAAGCTTAGAGTGAGATCTCTTAAATACAACGGAGTATAAGGGGCACAATTAGAAAAAAACCAGAATAAAGTCATTAATATCAGTATTAAGTCGTAAAGTTACCTGTTGTGAAGGAGAGTTGTTAAAATCAGCACTGTGGAGCATTTAGATGAATTGTACTTTAGTATAGGTTTCACAAACATGGAGATACTTAATCCTTTGGTACATGAGCATTACACTGTCATGAGTATCAGAACTTATATTTGAGATATATGAAAAAGGCTGCTTTTGTGGAGGGGAAAATGGCTGGAAATGGCTGTACAGAGGCTAAATCCGTCAATACAGCTGTTAATAGCAATAGCATAGGGCTTTAGTTTATCATATTAGTCTATTTGCCATGAGGTGTTGAGATCTCTGCATGTGTAGGTTACTGACTTACTGTAATCATCGGGTCTATCTCGTCCTTATAAAAACCTGCTCTATTACGGCGAGTGTCTGTCTTCTTCTGTAGTCAAACCGTAAGATATCAAAATCTACCCGGATACAGCAATGCTGCTTTTTTATTGGCTGTTCAGTAGATATACTTTATTTGATTGGCTTGCGCGTGGCACGCAGCTTCTGAACTCTCGGAGGAACTCAGTAGATTCCTACCTGTTCCATAGTTAAAGAGGTGCAACTTGGTGGACATCACCATGTTCATTTAAATGCGTGAGAAACAGACATGTTTTGAAAATAGTAGATATGGCGACCAAAACATTTGAGTCTCGAAAAGCACATAGCCATAGTAAACGCCATTACATTCGGGTACACTCATGTGGCTAACACCAGAGCTAATCCACTGCTCTGCTTTGATGTTGACTAAAACCACAGGAAATTACACAATTTTAACCCGGAAATGCCATAAAATCTCAACTTTTTACCTGATTAATGCAGTCAAAGTTATGTTTAACATGTTTTTTTTATCCTACCTTGAGGTATATTTGAGATTAATGTTTGACAGAAATGTAGAGTTGTTCAACACAGAGGCGTACTGCATTTGTTTGAGGATAAAACTGCTCTTGTTTCCTAAATATACAAGAATTATATCTCAGAATTAACTAAAAAAAATTTCGGGGGGGAAAAAAGTTCTTTTTTAATGTAGTGAACATAAAAAGGTAATGTCTCAGGTTATAACCAGGTGATTACCAGGTAATGTATAAAGTTATAACCAGGTTATAACAGGGTAATGTCTCAGGTTATAACCAGGTAATGTCTCAGGTCATAACCAGGTTATAACCAGGTTATAACCAGGTACTGTCTCAGGTTATAACCAGGTTATAACCAGGTAATGTCTCAGGTTATAACCAGGTAATAACCAGTTATAACCAGGTTTTTACCAGGTAATGTCTCCAGTTATAACCAGATTATAACCAGGTAATGTCTCAGGTTATAACCAGGTTATAACCAGGTAATGTCTCAGGTTAAAACCAGGTTATAACTAGGTTATAACCAGGTAATGTCTCAGGTTATAACCAGGTTACAACCAGGTAATGTCTCAGGTTATAACCAGGATAGAACCAGGTAATGTCTCAGGTTAAAACCAGGTAATAACCAGGTTATAACCAGGTTTTAACCAGGCAAGGTCACAGGTTATAACCAGGAAATGTCTCAGGTTATAACCAGGTTATAACCAGGTAATGTCTCAGGTTAAAACCAGGTTATAACTAGGTTATAACCAGGTAATGTCTCAGGTTATAACCAGGTTAAAACAGGGTAATGTCTCAGGTTATAACCAGGTAATGTCTCAGGTCATAACCAGGTTAATACCAGGTAATGTCTCAGGATATAACCAGGTAATGTTTCAGGATGTAAGCAGGTTATAACCAGGTAATGTTTCAGGATGTAACCAGGTTATAACCAGGTAATGTCTCAGGTTAAAACCAGGTTATAACAAGGTAATGTTTCAGGATGTAACCAGGTTATAACCAGGTAATGTCTCAGGTTAAAACCAGGTTATAACCAGGTAATGTCTCGAGTTATAACCAGGTTATAACCAGGTAATGTCTCAGGTTAAAACCGGGTTATAACTAGGTTATAACCAGGTAATGTCTCAGGTTATAACCAGGTTACAATCAGGTAATGTCTCAGGTAAGAACCAGGTAAGAACCAGGTAATGTCTCAGGTTAAAACCAGGTAATAACCAGGTTATGAACAGGTCATTACCAGGTAAGGTCTCAGGTTTTTAACCAGGAAATGTCTCAGGTTATAACCAGGTTATAACCAGGTCATTACCAGGTAAGGTCTCAGGTTATAACCAGGAAATGTCTCAGGTTATAACCAGGTTATAACCAGGTAATGTCTCAGGTTAAAACCAGGTTATAACTAGGTTATAACCAGGTAATGTCTCAGGTTATAACCAGGTTATATCCAGGTAATGTCTCAGGTTATAACTAGGTTATAACCAGGTAATGTCTCAGGTTATAACCAGGTTAATACCAGATAATGTCTCAGGATATAACCAGGTAATGTTTCAGGATATAACCAGGTTATAACCAGGTAATGTTTCAGGATATAACCAAGTTAAAACCAGGTAATGTCTCAGGTTATAACCAGGTTATAACCTGGTTATAACTAGGTAATGTCTCAGGATATAACTAGGTTATAACGAGGTAATGTCTCAGGATATAACCAGGTTATAACCAGGTAATGTCTCAGGATTTAACCAAGTTATAACCAGGTAATGTCTCCAGTTATAACCAGATTATAACCAGGTAATGTCTCAGGTTATAACCAGGTAATGTCTCAGGTTAAAACCAGGTTATAACTAGGTTGTAACCAGGTAATGTCTCAGGTTATAACCAGGTTATAACCAGGTAATGTTTCAGGATGTAACCAGGTTATAACCAGGTAATGTCTCAGGATGTAACCAGGTTATAACCAGGTAATGTCTCGGGTTATAACCAGGTTATAACCAGGTAATGTCTCAGGTTAAAACCAGGTAATAACCAGGTTATAACCAGGTCATTACCAGGTTATAACCAGGTAATGTCTCAGGTTAAAACCAGGTTATAACTAGGTTATAACCAGGTAATGTCTCAGGTTATAACCAGGTTATAACCAGGTTATATCCAGGTAATGTCTCAGGTTATAACTAGGTTATAACCAGGTAATGTCTCAGGTTATAACCAGGTTAATACCAGATAATGTCTCAGGATATAACCAGGTAATGTTTCAGGATATAACCAGGTTATAACCAGGTAATGTTTCAGGATATAACCAGGTTAAAACCAGGTAATGTCTCAGGTTATAACCAGGTTATAACCTGGTTATATCCAGGTAATGTCTCAGGTTATAACCAGGTAATGTCTCAGGATATAACCAGGTTATAACCAGGTTATAACCAGGTAATGTCTCAGGATATAACTAGGTTATAACGAGGTAATGTCTCAGGATATAACCAGGTTATAACCAGGTAATGTCTCAGGATATAACCAGGTTATAACCAGGTAATGTCTCAGGATATAACCAAGTTATAACCAGGTAATGTCTCAGGATATAACCAGGTTATAACCAGGTAATGTCTCAGGTTATAACCAGATTATTACCACGTTATATCCAGGTAATATCTTAGGTTATAACCAGGTTATAACCAGGTAATGTCTCAGGATATAACCAGGTTATAACCAGGTAATGTCTCAGGTAATAACCAGGTTATAACCATGGGTAATGTCTCAGGATATAACCAGGTTATAACCAGGTAATGTCTCAGGTTATAACCAGGTTATTACCAGGTAATGTCTCAGGATATAACCAGGTTATAACCAGGTAATGTCTCAGGATATAATTACGTTATAACCAGGTAATGTCTCAGAATATAACCAGGTTAAAACCAGGTAATGTCTCAGGATATAATTACGTTATAACCAGGTAATGTCTCAGGATATAACCAGGTTATAACCAGGTAATCTCTTAGGTTATAACCAGGTTATAACCAAGTTATAACCAGGTAATGTCTCAGGTTATAACCAGGTTATAACCAGGTTATAACCACGTTATATCTAGGTAATATCTTAGGTTATAACCAGGTTATATCCAGGTAATGTCTCAGGTTATAACTAGGTTATAACCAGGTAATGTCTCAGGTTATAACCAGGTTAATACCAGATAATGTCTCAGGATATAACCAGGTAATGTTTCAGGATATAACCAGGTTATAACCAGGTAATGTTTCAGGTTATAACCAGGTTATAACCTGGTTATATCCAGGTAATGTCTCAGGTTATAACCAGGTAATGTCTCAGGATATAACCAGGTTATAACCAGGTTATAACCAGGTAATGTCTCAGGATATAACTAGGTTATAACGAGGTAATGTCTCAGGATATAACCAGGTTATAACCAGGTAATGTCTCAGGTTATAACCAGGTTATAACCAGGTAATGTCTCAGGATATAACCAAGTTATAACCAGGTAATGTCTCAGGATATAACCAGGTTATAACCAGGTAATGTCTCAGGACATAACTACGTTATAACCAGGTAATGTCTCAGGATATAACCAGGTTATAACCAGGTAATGTCTCAGGTTATAACCAGGTTATAACCACGTTATATCCAGGTAATGTCTCAGGATATAACCAGGTTATAACCAGGTAATGTCTCAGGATATAACTACGTTATAACCAGGTAATGTCTCAGGATATAACCAGGTTATAACCAGGTAATATCTCAGAATATAACCAGGTTATAACCAGGTAATGTCTCAGGTTATAACCAGGTTACAACCACGTTATATCCAGGTAATGTCTTAGGTTATAACCAGGTTTTAACCAAGTTATAACCAGGTATTGCCTCAGGATATGATCAGGTTATAACCAGGTAATGTCTCAGGATATAACCAGGTTATAACCAGGTTATAACCAGGTATTGTCTCAGGATATAACTAGGTTATAACCAGGTAATGTCTCAGGATATAATCAGGTTATAACCAGGTAATGTCTCAGGATATAACCAGGTTGTAACCAGGTAATGTTTCAGGTTATAACCAGGTTAAAACCAGGTAATATCTCAGGTTATAACCAGGGTATAACCAGGTAATATCTCAGGTTATAACCAGGTTATTACCAGGTAATGTCTCAGGATATAACCAGGTTATAACCAGGTAATGTCTCAGGTTATAACCAGGTTACAACCACGTTATATCCAAGTAATGTCTTAGGTTATAACCAGGTTATAACTAAGTTATAACCAGGTAATGTCTCAGGATATAACCAGGTTATAACCAAGTTATAACCAGGTATTGTCTCAGGATATAACTAGGTTATTCCCAGTTAATGTCTCAGGTTATAACCAGGTTATTACCAGGTAATGTCTCAGGATATAACAAGGTTATAACCAGGTAATGTCTCAGGATATAACCAGGTTTTAACCAGGTAATGTTTCAGGTTATAACCAGGTTATAACCAGGTAATATCTCCGGCTATAACCAGGTTATTACCAGGTAATGTCTCAGGATATAACAAGGTTATAACCACGTTATATCCAGGTAATGTCTTAGGTTATAACCAGGTTATAACCAGGTAATGTCTCAGGTTATAACCAGGTTATAACCAGGTAATGTCTCAGGATATAACCAAGTTATAACCAGGTAATGTCTGGGGATATAACCAGGTAATGTCTCAGATTATAACCAGGTTATAACCAGGTTATAACCAGGTAATGTCTCAGGTTATAACCAGGTAATGTCTCAGGATTTAACCAGGTTATAACCAGGTAATGTCTCAAGATATAGCTAGGTTATAACCAGGTAATGTCTCAGGATATAACCAGCTTATAACCAGGTTATAACCAGGTAATGTCTCAGGTTATAACCGGGTTATAACCAGGTAATGTCTCAGGATATAACCACGTTATAACCTGGTTATAACCAGGTAATTTCTAAGGATATAACTAGGTTATAACCAGGTAATGTCACAAGATATAACCAGGTTATAACCAGGTAATGTCTCAGGTTATAACCAGGTTATAACCAGGTAATGTCTTAGGTTATAACCAGGTTTTAACCAAGTTATAACCAGGTATTGCCTCAGGATATGATCAGGTTATAACCAGGTAATGTCTCAGGATATAACCAGGTTATAACCAGGTTATAACCAGGTATTGTCTCAGGATATAACTAGGTTATAACCAGGTAATGTCTCAGGATATAATCAGGTTATAACCAGGTAATGTCTCAGGATATAACCAGGTTGTAACCAGGTAATGTTTCAGGTTATAACCAGGTTAAAACCAGGTAATATCTCAGGTTATAACCAGGGTATAACCAGGTAATATCTCAGGTTATAACCAGGTTATTACCAGGTAATGTCTCAGGATATAACCAGGTTATAACCAGGTAATGTCTCAGGTTATAACCAGGTTACAACCACGTTATATCCAAGTAATGTCTTAGGTTATAACCAGGTTATAACTAAGTTATAACCAGGTAATGTCTCAGGATATAACCAGGTTATAACCAAGTTATAACCAGGTATTGTCTCAGGATATAACTAGGTTATTCCCAGTTAATGTCTCAGGTTATAACCAGGTTATTACCAGGTAATGTCTCAGGATATAACAAGGTTATAACCAGGTAATGTCTCAGGATATAACCAGGTTTCAACCAGGTAATGTTTCAGGTTATAACCAGGTTATAACCAGGTAATATCTCCGGCTATAACCAGGTTATTACCAGGTAATGTCTCAGGATATAACAAGGTTATAACCACGTTATATCCAGGTAATGTCTTAGGTTATAACCAGGTTATAACCAGGTAATGTCTCAGGTTATAACCAGGTTATAACCAGGTAATGTCTGGGGATATAACCAGGTAATGTCTCAGATTATAACCAGGTTATAACCAGGTTATAACCAGGTAATGTCTCAGGTTATAACCAGGTAATGTCTCAGGATTTAACCAGGTTATAACCAGGTAATGTCTCAAGATATAACTAGGTTATAACCAGGTAATGTCTCAGGATATAACCAGCTTATAACCAGGTTATAACCAGGTAATGTCTCAGGTTATAACCGGGTTATAACCAGGTAATGTCTCAGGATATAACCACGTTATAACCTGGTTATAACCAGGTAATTTCTAAGGATATAACTAGGTTATAACCAGGTAATGTCACAAGATATAACCAGGTTATAACCAGGTAATGTCTCAGGTTATAACCAGGTTATAACCAGGTAATGTCTCAGGTTATAACCAGGTTATAACAACACTGAAGGCCAGACTGGTATTCCTATGCTTTACTTACACTACAGCACTTAAAAAACCAAGAACAACTCCATTTCTTCTCCTTCGGTTTCTTGTTTTTCTCCCCAGGTGGGGGTGCTGTGGAGCCAGCCAGACCATTGGAGGTGACATCTCTGCAGACACAAGCACACACCATTACTGTGTGGTGACATTTGTTTTAACAACCTGTAGTGATGTTTTTAAAGGAGTCTGCAGTGACTAGTCAACATTTATCAGAAGCTTTTGTGGCTGCACAAATAAACAGCTGATTGTTGGAGCAGTTTACTCACCTCCGCTGAAGGCTGATTAGACTTCTGCCTTTTCTCTGTGGAGTAACAACAAATATAAAAATGAAAACCCACTGTATCAAATATTTGTAGTGTCTGATTTTAAATGTCACACTTATAAAATGATCTTATTTTAACAGCTCTGAAACATACCAGAGGTTGACCAAACAGCCTGTGCAGCCAAAAGTTCGTTGGGCAGCAGTTTTCTGCGTTAGAAGCCACCGACGCAGTGTCACTGGTCAACACAGAAACACAGGTTGGTTATTCTAATGAACAAAACAAATCCATAAACAGAAATATCTGCAGAGACACATGACAGTCACACAGACTCAAACCATGGTGATATTCAGATGATAAAATACAATAAACACGCACTGGATGGTCTCTGAGGAAGTATCAGAGTCAAACTGAAAAAGTGTCTTTATGTATCAAAAATAATACAGCACACTCACAGTGGTTTAAAATACCTGAAGGTTATTCCCTGTTTTTGTGTTGTTGTTATTGATAAATTAACCCCCTCTTTGTTCACACTTATTCATTAAAAACCTAAGTGCTGAATCTCTTTAAGTTGACACAGCGTTTTTAAAACAAAGCTTTTTTAATGCATATTATCCGAGAAAGGCCTCATACAAAACATGTTTTTCCTTCAATTTCAAACACAGTAAATTAAAATGGTCTTTGTTTCCCTTACTGGGAATTTCCCCTTGTGGGACTAATAAAGGAGTATCTTATCTATCATACCTGACTTTACTAGTTTTTGACTAGAGACTCCCAATAAGAGCAAACGATGATAAAACTTCTTTATTTCATTTAGTGTTTTTACACATTTCCTTTGACTGATTAATTGATCAGTAAATGTCTTATGTGAAGCCTTTGAATTGTCTTATTCAGTTAAAATAACCACTGAAATGCATCACATAAATACATGTGTCTTGTGACAAAAAGAGTATGAAACACAATGTAAGTCCAAAATCAAATCCTAAATTTGCGAATCTTTAGATTTTTGCTGGCACTGTCACAGATTTAACTCTGAACTGTCTCAGATTATAATCTGCTGGGAGGTCTCTGTCATGTTTCAAATGTTACACTCTGCATATTAAATGCAAAAGAGTTAAAAGATTGTTTTAGAGACACATTGGTAAACTACTGTTTAATATCACACCCCTATAAATTTGAGTTTGCATTTTACTGTCATCATAAGTTAAACGTGTTTCTTACCTCCTGTTGAAGCCCGAGCACGCAATTCTCGGAGCTTCTCCTTTTACAGGAATGGGTTGACTCTTCTGTGCAGATTTAAAGAAGAAATAAGAAAGTATTGGTTAGTATAAAAGAAACTGTCAAATAAGTTTCAGACTGACGGCTTTAAATAGCCCAGAAGACATAAAAAAATCTCTTATGGAGATTTCTCACAATAACATGAGCTTTTCTGCGCTTAAGCACGAAGAGTCTTTGACATGGTGGGCAGGACTTTCATGTGATGTCAATGCATCACTTTTAAGATAACCATCCGAACATCTAGACTTTAAACTCGCTGTTGTGGCCACATTCATTGTGTTCATGAAGGGCGGAGGATTCGTACGATGTTCTTATTTTCATTCTGGGATATAAAGAAATCGTGCTATGTGAAGAAGTCCAGAGGCAGCTTCTCATTCAAACAGTAGGTCAGTTAATGCCTTTGATCTCACAGCTGTTTAGGATGCAATCATTAACGAGACACGCGCAGTCTGACAATGTGTGTGCATGTGTCTGTGACTAAAAGACCTGCATGTACACACAGTTAATATGTGTCTGCATCACCACCTATCTCCACCCACAAACTGTGAGCTACAGAAACCATTCTGGGCTTCAAAAATTCAGCTCATTGAGGACATTATGGGGTGTACTCAGGATTTTTTTTATTAAAGTTTTCCCCACTTTAAAATTATTCTCATTATTCATGCATTATTAAATTCGTCAGACAAATCCAAACTCATTCAAACTGATTCAAACCTTTCTGATACTTCAAACCTGTTTAACACTTAAGGACTTCTAATTATTTAAAATTTTTCCCACTTCAAAATCATTCCCATTATTTATGTCTGTTTTAATTCTTAAAACAAAATCCCAGTTCTACCACTACAATTACTACTTATATCACTTTAACTTGTATCTTCACTTCTACCTCCACTGCTCTTGCTTCTCTTACTATTTTTTTTACTTCTACCACGAGCTCTACTGCTTTGACTTCTACTTCTTCTATTCTAAAACTACTTCTACTGCTTACATGACTACTAATATCACTAGTACAACTACCTATTATCATACTTCTTCTAGTACTTCAACTTAAACTTATGCCGCTTCTTACTTTTCTGTGTTTTAAGGTTATTTTCTTCCTTATCCAATTTTTTTGCAATTTCAGACAGTTTTTCTAGCCTTATTCAGCATGAATGCAATTTTAATCTATGAAGCACATTCATACTATTTGTACTTCAGCAATTTTCACTTTCATCTAACTTCTACTTTTCTTTCTCCAGCTCTTTAACCAAGTTTACATTCAAACCTTCCTCCATTTTTTTTTAGCAGTTTAGCATTGCTTTTCAGCTTCCAGCACTCAGCATTTCCACGCATTTTCTGCAAGGAAATGCAATTTTTTTAGTTTTGATAATGCCTGTCACATTAAAGTCATAAACACTGTAAATATCCATGCACACATTTAATCCTTGTCGATGCATCGCTTAACCATCACGAAAGTCTCGACAGTAACACAAGTTTGTATGATAATACTGTCATGAAATCTTACGGTCTCCATGTCGTAGATGTTGTCCTCTCTGTTCAGGTGTTGGTTAGAGGTGTTAGTCCGAGTCCTTAGTCGTCTGGTGAGGTTTTATTTTCGATGAAGCCGTCAAAAGTTGTAAGTTCGTGAGCCGCTTAAGTTTTTCGTGCTGTTCTCTTCAGATTTGATCTTCAGAAATGACCGCTCTCTTTTGCTTGTAATGATTTAAAGTTTTTACATCGTTACAGGTTACCATGGAGAATTAAAATGCTGTTTACTTTAGAAAAACCCTTACACTGGTAGGTTATATCTAAAAGTTTAATATTATCTTTAATTTACTTTAATCTCAATGGAATATAAATATCTCTCGAAGTAAAGTGGAGGTTATTTTTCGTGATTGAAGATAATTATTCGTATAATTATCTCTTAAATACAACGGAGTATAAGGGGCACAATTAGAAAAAAAAAAACGTTTTTAAATCTTAAAGAATAAAGTTATTATTTGGGAGAATAAAGTCATTAATATCAGTATTAAGTCGTAAAGTTACCTGTTGTGAAGGAGAGTTGTTAAAATCAGCACTGTGGAGCATTTAGATGAATTGTACTTTAGTATAGGTTTCACAAACATGGAGATACTTAATCCTTTGGTACATGAGCATTACACTGTCATGAGTATCAGAACTTATATTTGAGATATATGAGAAATGCTGCTTTTGTGGAGGGGAGAATGGCTGGAAATGGCTGTACAGAGGCTAAATCCGTCAATACAGCTGTTAATAGCAATAGCATAGGGCTTTAGTTTATCATATGAGTTTATATGCCATGAGGTGTTGAGGTCTCTGCATGTGTAGGTTACTGACTTACTGTAATCATCGGGTCTATCTTGTCCTTATAAAAACCTGCTCTATTACGGCGAGTGTCCGTCTTCTTCTGTAGTCAAACCGTAAGATATCAAAATCCACCCGGATACAGCAATGCTGCTTTTTTATTGGCTGTTCAGTAGATATACTTTATTTAATTGGCTTGCGCGTGGCACGCAGCTTCTGAACTCTCGGAGGAACTCAGTTGATTCCTACCTGTTCCATAGTTAAAGAGGTGCAACTTGGTGGACATCACCATGTTCATTTAAATTTGTGAAAAATACAATGTGTGGCGTGTGAGTGTGTGAACGGGTGGGAATGCGTGTGTCACACGCTGAATGCGTGAGACTTGAGAGCCCTGCATCTGCCTTCTAATAGATGAAAATCATACACCGATCCTATACTGGTGTCCTCAGGACTAAAGAGGAAAAGGACCATAAGGACTGTTATCAGGTCAAAGTTCAAAAACCAGCATCTGTGATGGTCTGGGGGTGTGTTAGAGCCCATGGCTAACTGTCACATCTGTGAAGGCTTCGTTAATGCTGAAATTATTAATTACCTTAGTTATTAATTAATAACTCATCAACAATGAAAAATTATTATTATTACTTTATGTTGGATCAGATTAAAGATGAACAAGCTAATAGTTATAGCACTTTCCGAGTCCTTTGTTTTAATCTATTTTACATGTAATTATTATTATTATTATTATTTGTTCTTTTTCAGGTTTTATTGTCTGTCCATTAGTTGATTTACTCTCTCATCACTCTCCCCCCGGCTGCAGAAACCCTCATCCACGCATTCATCACTTCAAGACTGGACTACTGTAACAGCATCCTTTGTGGCTCGTCTTCCAAACTCATCAAAAAACTCCAGACCATCCAAAACTCTGCCGCCCGCCTGCTCACCCACACCCGCTCCAGAGACCACATCACCCCTATCCTCCAAATTCTCCACTGGCTCCCTGTTAAACACCGTATCACCTTCAAAATCCTTCTCCTCACCCATAAAGCTCTTCACAATCAGGCCCCCTCCTACATCTGCACCCTGCTCCACCGCCACAATGCCCCCCGCAACCTCTGCTCCTCTGATGCCAACCTCCTGTCCCTACCCCTCCGAACGACTCATCGAACCTGGGGGGACAGGGCCTTTTCCATTGCCGCACCCTCCCTCTGGAACTCTCTCCCCGTCCATATCAGATCCTGCACTGACCTTCCCTCCTTCAAATCCCATCTGAAAACCCACCTTTTTAAAATTGCTTTTAACATGTGACTATTTTACTTATTTATATTTATTTATCCTATCTTATTGCCATATTCAAATTGTGTGCTTTATGTAAAGTGTCTTTGAGTACCTTGCAAAGCGCTATACAAATAAAATGAATTATTATTATTAGTTGAACTCCTCAGATGAGTGGCTCTTACTAAAAATATAAAACTTCATTTCCAGAGAGAAGTTAACCCGTCAATCTCCTTTTTTTTTTTTTTTTAGTGAGTCTTCAGTCTCCTGATGTGTTGGTGCGGGTTCAGTTTCAGCGGCAGAATCAGATTCAGGTGCAGAAGCCTCATTTCATACTCTAAGGTCACACACACTCTTCTGAATACAACATTTCTGAAGAATTTCTTGTTTGTGTTAGATTTGTAAATTTGAGTGAAACAGTGAATTTTGTGTTTTTTCAGTCAGCTCACTGATGTTATATTTGTTTTGGCCTGTAGACCAATCAGAGACTGCAGCTTTGATCAGCAGACCTGTAGAGGACCCCTTAAAAGTGGGGCCGGCCTAAGACCGACCTACACAGTAGTAGTAAGATAGAACTGTTTGGCTGAATCCATCCCATTGAATTTATTCTAGTATTTATAGATCAGTGCTCTCCAATACTTTAGCCTTTCATTAAAACCATCATCATGTTTTTATTTCATTTTAATATTTTAAAACTTCTGTACATATAAAAGAGATCTGAAAACTAAAACTAGACTTACAAAAAAACGGTGCAGTCTTTTGTAATGAGAAATGTGAGATATGAAGTGAAACAAGACAAAACCCTTTATGAGTCTTTATTGTAAGGCCACAGGTGTTCACAGGGGTACATTCAGGTTATCAGTGACGTGTTGAAAACAACAGTCAGTCATAAATGACACATTGATATTCCAAGGTAATGTAACTGGGCTAGAAACGTGGTTATACTGTGATTATATAGACAGTAAGAGGACTGTAAATGTATTTACTCTGTGTCATGTTAGTACCTTATTAGTTCAGATTAATGTCGATTTAGTTCGATGCAAATGTTTCCTTCAAAGGGATTCACTGTAGATCAGTGCAGGAGTCAAACACTGGTGCCAAACTAAAGGTAATGGCATACTACCTGCACAGGTAGCCTGTGTGACACTAACAGTTTGTGCTTTTCAGTGAAAACATAGAAACAGAGGGGCTACACACTGGCTTGTTTTAGCATATGGGCTACAACAGAGCTGATGTACAGAGAGGAAGTGTGCTTTTTAAAACAGCTAATGTCTTAACATACAGTATTTTTTTTTTCATTTTGAGAATAAAAAAAGGACTTTAACCCTTTAACTGACATCTTCAAATAAAAGCTGGTCGCTTCAGTTTAAAGCTAGACTTCAAAGAAGTTCAGCATCTGAGGTTTTTTGAAGCACCTGACAGCTTTTACCAGGTGACTCACCTGACACGTAGTTCACCCTTTCAGTGAGGTCAACCTTCCCTGAGTGTGAAGAATTGTTTAGAGCAGTGGTTCTCAAGTCCAGTCCTTGAGGCCCACTGTCCTGCATGTTTTGGATGTTTCCCTGCTCCAACACACCTGATTCAAATGATCAGCTCGTTATCAAGCTCTGTAATGGCTTAATAACGAGCTGATCATTTGAATCAGGTGTGTTGGAGCAGGGAAACATCCAAAACATGCAGAACAGTGAGCCTCAAGGACTGGACTTGAGAACCACTGATTTAGAGGAATGTAATAAACTGACCAGCAGTTGGACGAACAGAAACGTATCAGGAGGAAGTCACTAGTGATATGATGTGGACCATTCAAGGAAAATTCTGACATTAAACTTGGAAATATTTGTCCTTTTTTTGCCAGAAACAGCTGCTCACTCCTACCACAGAGTCAGAAAGAAAGCTTCTGGAAAAAACTAGAGATTTTCAGAATAAAGCCATAAAGTTACAGGATGAGGGCCTGTATTTAAGAGAATAATCTTATAAACTGACAAAGTAAATTAACAACTTGATTTTGATAAATTTAAGACTCTATGCTTGTACATTTACCAGCTTTTTTTCTTTTTTTGTTGTAAATTTACAACAGATTTTTGTTCATCTCTGACTTCATGCTTGTGCATTTGGGACTTCGTTGGTGAGATCTCTTTTATTTTTGTCCCTGAATGTGTCTGATGTGGGTATGAAACCATGAGAGAGATTGTAAACACAAACATCCTTCATTATCCGTAGAAGTGAGCTGAAAAAAACATGTAGTAGAATTACACATCAGGTTACTGTGTGCTGTAGATTTGTTATCTAGATGAGTGTTTGACTGAACTGTTTGTCTCGGGGTGATGACCCTGTGTTAGATCATCAGTGTGGGTCCTCAGACAGGCAGTAAAAACATGTGAGAGAGGCCATGAGGAGGGTTTTTACATAATGACATCAACACTGACACATGAACAGTCCCATCATGCACCAGGAGAGATCCTCTGCTGCATATTTACCTGCATACAGACCTGTAAATACTGGATATTCAGTAATGAAGTATTACTCATACGTACATGTGACTACATGTGACTGCAGCTAAGATAATGCCTCTAACACAGATCAGGGTGCTGCTGCTAAAATCAAAGATTATATGTTTATATTGGACACAGAGAGGCTAAAAGGTATTAGTAAAGAGTTTTCAGTTACAAAGCTTTGAAATGAAGGACGTAAAAGTGTGAGATCTAAACTCCTCCTCCTCTATACTCTGTGTTATTAACTAATTCATGATGAAGCTTCAGGTATTAACAAGAAACAGGAGATGGTCCAGTCTCAGCTGTCCCTTGCTGCTCGTCCTCCTCACTCCTGCTTTTGTCCTCTGGAGTGTCCTCTGAAAGAGTCCATGAGGTTGAAGGCTCCCATGTACTGACCCAGCAGGATTCCCTGCTTCATAGGGAGGATGCTGAGGAGAGAGAGAGGAGGCTGGTCAATAAGAATAAGAATAACTTTATTAACCATTGAAGGAAAATTCAATGCAGACTGAAGTTTATACAAAACTCAATTCCATTGAAGTTGGGAAATTGTGATAAACGTAAATAAAATAGAATACAATGATTTGCAAATCCTTTTCAACCTATATTCAATTGAATACACTACAAAGACAAGATATTTAATGTTCAAACTCAAACTTTTTTTTTTTTTTGCAAATAATAATTAACTCAGAATTTCAATTCTGCAACTCGTGCCAAAGTAGTTGGGACAGGGGCATGTTTACCACTGTGTTACATCACCTTTCCTTTTAACAACACTCAATAAACATTTGGGAACTGAGGAGACTAATTGTTGAAGCTTTAAAGGTGGAATTCTTTCCCATTCTTGCTTGATGTACAGCTTCAGCTGTTTAATAGTCCGGGTCTCCGTTGTCGTATTTTATGCTTCATAATGCGCCACACATTTTCAATGGGAGACAGGTCTGGACTGCAGGCAGGCCAGTCAAGTACCCGCACTCTTTTACTATGAAGCCATGCTGTTGTAACACGTGCAGAATTGGCATTGTCTTGCTGAAATAAGCAGGGGCGTCCATGAAAAAGACGTTGCTTGGATGGCAGCATATGTTGCTCCAAAACCTGTATGTACCTTTCAGCATTAATGTTGCCTTCACAGATGTGTAAGTTACCCATGCCTTGGGCACTAATGCACCCCCATACCATCACAGATGCTGGCTTTTGAACTTTGCGTAGATAACAGTCCGGATGGTTCTTTTCCTCTTTGGCCCGGAGGACACAACGTCCACTATTTCCAAAAACAATTTGAAATGTGGACTCGTCAGACCACAGAACACTTTTCCACTTTGCATCAGTCCATCTTAGATGAGCTCGGGTCCAGAGAAGCCGGCGGTGTTTCTGGATGTTGTTGATAAATGGCTTTCGCTCTGAATAGTAGAGTTTTAACTTGCACTTACAGATGTAGTGACGAACTGTATTTCCTGACAGTGATTTTCTGAAGTGTTCCTAAGCCCATGTGGTGATATCCTTTACACATTGATGTCAGTTTTTGATACAGTGCTGCCTGAGGGATCGAAGGTCACAGGCATTCAAGTTGGTTTCTGGCCGTGCCGCTTACCTGCAGTGATTTCTCCAGATTCTCTGAACCTTCTGATGATATTATGGACCGTAGATGTTGAAATCCCTAAATTCCTTGCAATTGTACTTTGAGAAACGTTGTTCTTAAACTGTTCGACTATTTGCTCACACAGTTGTTCACAAAGTGGTGAACCTTGCCCCATCCTTGCCTGTGAATGACTGAGAATTTTTGGGGAAGCTGCTTTTATACCCAATCATGGCACCCACCTGTTCCCAATGAGCCTGCTCACCTGTGGGATGTTCCAAATAGGTGTTTGATGAGCATTCCTCAAATTTCTCAGTATTTTTTGCCACCTTTCCCAACTTCTTTGGCACGTGTTGCTGCCATGGAATTCTAAAGTTAATGATTATTTGCCAAAAAAAAAAAAGTTTATGAGTTTGAACATTAAATATCTTGTTTTTGTAGTGTATTCAATTGAATATAGGTTAAAAAGAATTTGCAAATCATTGTATTCTGTTTTTATTTATGTTTATCACAATTTCCCAACTTCAATGGAATTGGACTTTGTAGATGTTAGACTGAGATTGAGGGAACCAAATATTATTCTCTACATCTCCACAGGGGGGGAGATGTAGAGACCTAAAGCCACACACACGGGCACAAACACACACACACAAACAAACACCAGGGCACCCACTAAGATAGTGAACATAAGGCTGAGTACAGATGAACCAGTTAAAAGTGCTGAGCTTTGCTGAATGATGCCACCTTAAAAATGCAGAAATTCCAGCTCCGCACCTGAGTACTTACAAATCCATGGATTTGTAAGTACAGTAGTATGTCTAAGGAATTTGACCCAAGTGGAAACATGCAATATATTTAATCAGTTTTTACACATCAAAGCTGCGGCACAACTGCAGAGGCTGCAATACCTACAGTACCTTCATACTTCTTTATTACCTACTATATAAGTCATAAGAAGATCTTTAACATAGACGGTCTAATGGATGATAGAGTCTAGGAAAAGTGCTTCCTGTTGTCTTTGTCTCTCCATAATTTCTGTTTTTATGGACTGACACAGTGAGTGGTACCCCCCAACATCAGATGGATTTCCCTGCTAAGTGGTCTTCTTCCTCCTGTTAGTTTGGACTGTTAGCTGAGCTCCTGCAGTGACAATACAGTCTGCTTTGCTCTATGAGGGGATTATACCATATAACCACCAGTAACAGTCAGACCCCCCCTTCTCTTTGTAGCTCTAAAGCTCATTAGAATCTCTGCTGCTGGTTTGATAATATCTAACTGAGCTGATGCCTCGCAGAAAGCAGGCGTGTCAAACACTGGCTTTACATTGAGCGGGACAGAGAAAACACCTCCAGACCCTTTAGGAAGTATGAGTGATTTGATCATCTCCACCTCTGTTTTTCTGTCAGTGCCCCTCAGATAAACTCCTTTTTCAAGTTGGTCAGCCTGCTGTCACCAGGCTTAAGGTCCTTACACACCGGGACCGTTTTTGTCGTGCGATTATTTCAGATGTCAGTATTTTTCGAACCTGTATCCTATCAATACAAGCGTTCACATCAGCGACGTTTTCCCGTCCTGCAATATTGCGGCATTTATTTTTTGAATCATGGTCATTTTTTCTAAATTTTCACAGACTGTGTGTCCACTTCTGACCAATCAGATTGCGTGTTGTTGCGACGTCAGATTTACTGGTATATCCAACATGGCCAACCAGCTTATTGTTTACATGTCGGAGAACAGAGTGCTTTTTGATAAAAGACACAAACATTACAAAGATAACGACTTAAAGGACAACTTGTGGAGAGTCATAGCGTCGGATTTCTCATATGACGATGGTTTGTGTGCTTTAACAGTTTGCTAAACATCTTTGTTTTAACTTCCACTTGTGCTAATATAAGCCAATGGTTGTTACCATAGTTTCATGTGCTTATCTGGTACTGGCCCTGGCTCAGTATTTGCTATCATGACAGACAGCCATCTCAACACTAGTGTCTAATCAGAACTGAAAACAATCAGCAACCGTGGTACAGTTTCAGCTCCTAAACCAAGCACTGAAACTCACTAAGTTCTCTTCTTGTTTGTAATATTGGATGCACCAATGTGCTACGTTTATTTTTCTTTTGAGACAGCAAAAGGAGTACCAATTCGCCATTACTTGAAGTTGAAGTAGACTCCTATTTTGTCCTCTTGCTTCCACCTGGTTTTTAAGGGAAGGTCCCGCCCTCCTTCGCCTCTGATTGGCTATAAGTGCTGACCGTTGGGCTTGAGCGTGTGATGACGTTTACAGCTTTTCTAGCCAATCAGAGGCGAAGGAGGCTGGACTTTCCCCCCGGAAAGTCGCAAAATCACATCAGACTTGATGTGTAAAGTCAGGCGCGTCAAAATTCACCTCCGAATATTTCATGATTTCGCGTTCTATATTCGAGTCGGCCCCGGTGTGTAAGGACCTTAAATCACAGTAATGGATGGGTCTGACTGTGTATTAATTTCATTTCTCCAGGAAGTGTGAGTGAAGATCAACCATTTTGTTTAAAACAGGAACAAAAGCAGGAACAAAAGCAGATTCTCAGCAGATCTTTGTTGTTCATAAAAAAGTGGTGCTCCTGTGTGGTCAGCTTCTAGAAACCACACAATTAAAAAAAAATAGACCTATGATGGATCCAATTTATTAAAGAGAAAAAGGGCATTATTTCAAATAACAGAGGATCCAAACAGGTTGATCAGCGTTGCCAACTCCTCAGTACGGAAAGTCGGGAGTGGCTGTCCTAGAAGTCCCTAGATGATGCCATCGCCTAATTTTCATAATTTTTCAGTTTATTTTCTACATTGCAGAACTATGCTTTTATTTTGAAGTGTGATTTCCCGTGGATTGTTAGTCAGGAAATGCAAAAAGGTTGTTAATCATGAGCTTTCTTTCAAAGCAAATATTGCCAGTTTTGTGGCCAAACTCGGGATGAAAAGAGGTTTATACAACAGAAACAAATCCTGCTTTTCCCTCAGTGTTTGAAAAATACCTTGTATCTGCAACCTTTCATCCATTGCTGGACTATGGTGATGTTCGCAGGTACACTCTCTGGATGACAAAGTTCTTTTTGGCTTGGCTCCTTCTTATTTATATGCACTTCTTCAAAGAACTGAAAGCTACTCTTCCTTGCACTCTAGTAACACTGTCCATCTGATTGTTCTTCATGTCAGGACTGTATTAGGAAAAAAAAATCATTTTTGCTGCCACCTCAGCATGGGACACACTGGTATACAGCAATATCCATACTCTAAATCAATGGTTCTCAAGTCCAGTCCTTGAGGCCCACTGTCCTGCATGTTTTGGATGTTTCCTTGTTCCAACACACCTGATTCAAATGATCAGCTCGTTATTAAGCTCTGTAATGGCTTAATAACGAGGACTGGATTGAGAACCACTGTATTAGATTCAGGTTTATTAGAGACTGAAGAGAACAGGGTGAGGTCCAAAATGAGCAAGAAGCCAAACCAAGAGCTTAATGAGTTACTTTATTAACCGGATAACTGCCCTTTCAGAATAAAAGCAAAAAAACAAATCAGGCTTTTACTTTGAAAACCAGCCAGAAAGAGTAATAATATGAAATATTTGTAATTGTAGAGCATGGCTTGCAGTAAAGATTGGTAAGCTTTCTGGTTGTCTGGCTGATTCTGGTTGTCAGTCTGACTCTTTAATAATTGGCGGGGGGGGGGTGTCCACACTGGGGAGGCGGTCCGAAACTATTGTACAGAAAAACACCGCACAAATACTGATTGAAGGTTTTGAATGTCCATGAACTGTTACTGTTTGACTTCAATTCAAACTCTGAGTATCTCTGTCAGAGCTGTACTGGGACATGGACCAATCCAGTAAACCACCTGATCCGGATCTGACTGCAGCTCAACCCAGCTGTTCATGTCAACATACTGACTGATTAGTAGGGCCCGACCGATATGGATTTTTTGGGGGCCGATGCGATACCGATTATTAGGGGGGGAAAAAAATCTGATTACCTAATAATCAGACAATTTTTAAAATTTTTTATTAAGTTCTAAAAAAATATAAATATAGAGTAGATATCTACAGTATACTGTAGGCTACTGCTCTTCACGCCGACAGGAAGACAGACTGATCAAACTTGGACCAGAAAAGCATTTTCAACAACCCCCCCAGCTGCCACCGCTGCCGATCGGTGCCTCCACGTCATAACTCACGTTACCCATTTCCGGTCCAGTTAATTCTTAGCTTATAATTAATTATTATTATAGTTAATTATAATTAATGTTAATTCTACCGTTACTGGCACGGCTAACAGTGTAGCAAGGCTAATAGCAGATGGCTAACTCTAACTTTAGCTTGCATATTACATGGTGCTTCACTGTTAACTCGGCGTGACCAAGACCAGCACAGCGGGGGACATCGTGAAGTGGGTTGAACTGAAACTTGTTGACTCTTGTCTAGTTCACAAACTAGTTTATTTACCATCCCTACCATACCATCTTTTTCTCCGTATTTTATTTCTAAAAATATTGGCGAGTTTTGGCCGATTACTGATTAGTCTCAAACGGGCTAAAATTGACTGATTTAATCTGCTTACCGATAAATCGGTCGGGCCACTGATTAGATTTAGAAATGTTAATTTCACACCTCTAACCCCCTTTAGCTCCACCCCCTGGCCCAAATATGGTCACTTGTATTTGTATATTTATTTTATTTTAACATCCTGCTTGAATGGACATCACTTTGTGCTACATTATGTGAATGAAAAGTGCTTTATAAATAAAGTTTGATTGATTGACTTCTGGCTGTATAAACCAAACATACATAAAAGCGCTGCACTCAAGGATCATCAGGATTACATCATCATGATGTGCTGTTTATAAAGGTCTGCAGGGGACAGGTTATCATGGGAAATATCTGACTGGGGAGATTTAAAGCCTGACCGAGCCACTAAAATCCAAGACTACATTTCTATCAGCCCCGACTCTGAAACTTTATGAAGTTTAAAATCTTAACTGCCGGAGTGTAACTCCACAATCAGACCAGCCAAATTCAGGACATCTCAATTTGAGTCACACAGCTAACAGAGGACAGAGGGTTGTGGTAAACAGGCTGTTAATCTGACTGACTGAATGAATCCTTCAGCTCCTGTTAGTAGCTGCTGAATGATGAACAATCCACTGACAAAGACTTTTCACAGATTCAGACGGGGTTGATAACACCACACATTATTAAAAACCCCAGCACAAAAGCTTTTATGGAAAATGAACGGAGGAGACAGACGAGGCTTTGGCTGTGATTAGACGACCAAAAGCATCCTGACGGAGAATAATGAGAGAACAAACCAGAGCGACAGGAGATGTCTGAAGTGTGTTATCAGAGCCGTCAGAGAGTAAACTACTGAAGGGGAGACACTGACAGCACCACTCAGTGTCAATAATATTAACAAAAAGATATATTCATAGACTTTTTCATTTAGGTCAAGTGATGAACACTGGCCTCTTTGCAGCGTCTGATGAGCCGCTTTATGACAATATAACTAAAAAGTGTCCTGACAGCGCTGAGGACGGATCGCTGCTTAAGGACCAGTCAATAAAAAGAGGAAATTGAACATCTAAACTCATTCTTTTTAAAGGAATCTGCAACAGAGACAGAGTGTATCCTTCAATAGTTTGACCACATACTGCCTCAGACTAACAGCTGCTCTGTGCTTTTAAACTTACTTTTAGATGATAAAGACTCAGTTTCCCTCTCCCCTGCACAGCTATGCACATCTGGGCAGGTGTGGTGTAGATGGATAAGTGACTGTTTGTTGATGGACCGCTGTACCCATCATCAGCTCAAAGGAAAAACCATCTTTCAAAACTTTTAGTGGTTGTTTTGTGTAGTTCACACTAACTTTACCTGCGCAGTGTCTGTATTGAGCTAATGCTTACATGTGCTAAAGGTAATATACTTATGCAATTCAACCAGCTATGGTGTGAGCTAACGCTAACAAACACCTGAACTAGCCTAAACACAAAACCATAACTAAGTAGTTTCATGTCTTGATTGAACTTTGAACTTATTTCTGACCAGAATGCCTTCTAGAGGTCAAAAAATTTAAATACTTTTTTAGACTCAGTACAAAAGTGTTTACGGCCAATAAACTAGTTACCTAAAGTCACACTCCAATCGTTTTTTGACTACTTCAGGTGCTGTAAGTGGTCTTTAAACTATGAATATGAAATTCTTAGCCAAAATCACATTATCTGTGTCATTTTCAAAGGCTTTTCTTCCGCAGAGCTCCAGTAGATCACTAGCAATTCGCCTTTGAGTTTTGGGCGGAGAAAGCGCCACTCTGCACACTCGTCTTCACGTTAGCTTGCAGCCTAACATTGCCTGTGTAACAGAGGTGGCAGGTAACATAGGAGCTATTCAGCTCTCGGACACTAATGTCTTTAGGGATGTGATGAAAGTTAATATCATAGTTAGCTTTCTTACAAGCATTGCAATCTGCTAACGCACACGCTTGTTCCGTGACCGTCCTCTGTATTTCTCCTCTATATGCAGAGTGTGGCCTACATACAGTGTTGCCAACTCCTTAGTAAGGAAAGTAGCTACTGGCTGTCCTAAAAGTTGCTAGAAGTTGCTAAATGACGTCATTGTCTGATTTGCATAATTGGCCAAATTGTAATGGATGCTGTAGGGGAGAGGAACAATGTCGTGGGAGAGACAAAAAGTGAGTAAAGAACACCCCAAATTAACTTTTTTCTGTCGATTCTTGTTTTTTTTTAATGTCACAATACCAACCCTTCTCCTTTAGCCGGGCCTGGGACGGGCAAAAATGACCCAACTGAGACAATTTGGCAGAGTTACTGAGGTTTTTATTTATTTTTTTAAGTTTTTTTTTTAAAGTTTTGTTTGGTTTTAAACAACCAGCGGCGGCTTCACGCATGTGCAATTCATATGTTCTTTTGTTTCCAATGATACACGTCACTATGTGTACACATATGTTTTTTTTTTTTTTTTGTGTTATTAAAGCTCTGAAACCTTTGATGAACTGTATGCTTCTTTGGAACAGCAGCATGTCAAACACATATACAGGACCTAGTCTCTGTCTCCAGCGACTTTTTTAGAGGCACTAGGAAAGCCATAATAGTCGATATCGATAAATATATATCACAATATAAAAAATAAAATTTAACAGTGCTTATTGGTACCACGTCTTTTGCAATACAGTACACTACTGCATCTGTGAGATATTTGTGTCTCTTCGATGTTTTTGTCGTAAGGCGTTGCGCTAGAGAAAGCGAACTGAATGGTCAGCAGTTTCGGCTGCACAGGCACCATGGGCTTCTTGCTGTGCTTGGGGTTTGTAATCTTTTGCATTGTGCGTACTCTGCCATGTGGCACTGCTTCAGGTGGTGAAAAAGATTTGAGGTGATCCCCGACTTTGCGAGAACATGTACACAACATAATTTGACCTGCACACTACTCTGCGTCCGACCTGTTTGACCGAAAACAAAATACCTCCACACCACTGACATTTTTGTGTACTGTCGACGATGTCATCATCTGTTGAGCCTTTATCTGCATTTCTGCCGGAGTAGCACTCATTTCTGTTTTTCTCACCAACAGCACTGCCGGCTTCACGTGTTAAAGTGCTATGGTTGTGTGTAGCTACAGCCTGCTACTACACAGTTGTTTACTACTTGGTTCTAATTCTGCACATGACCCGGACCCGGACCAACTCCCCTTTTCGTTGGCTATTTGTAAAGTTTACCAAAAAATGGCAGAATGCCGACTATCAAAAAGCATATTGACTATGCTGAGGGGAATTAATTTTCAATATATATCGTTATCATTTTATCACCCAGCCCCACTATGATTTACTGACTTCTGGCCTGGCTCTGCCCACTATGACAGCTTGCACATTTCCTTTTACTGACATACTTTGACCTTTTAAGGATTGAGTTGCAACATAATCCAACTCATCGATCAATCAATCAATCAATCAATCAATCAATCAATCAATCAATCAATCAATCAATCAATCAATCAATCAAAGTTTACTTATATAGCACTGTTCATACAAATGAAATTGCAGCTAAAAGTGCTTTACATCAGGACAAGAAAAATAAAAGTTATAAAAATAGACTAAAACAGACAGTAAAATATGAACTTGAATTTATTAATAAAAGAAGGTAAAAAGTGATATTAAAAAATAAATAAATAAAAATAGTAATTAAAATAATGAAGCTTTACATAAAAGCCAGGCTAAATAGATGATTTTTTGGTTACGTTTAAAGATTTCAATATTTGCAGCTTGTCTCAGACCCTCTGGAAGTTTGTTCCACAGTTTTGGAGCATAGCAGCTAAAAGAAACATCACCAAATTTTGATCTGCTCTGTGGAATGACTAAGAGAGAAGATTGAGAGGATCTGAGAGGCCGCCCTGGTTCATAAATTAAAATCATCTTTGAAAGGTATTCTGGTGCCAGGCCATGTAGAGCTTTATAAACTAGTTAAAGACTTTTAAAATCAATGTGAAAACTAACAGGCAGCCAGTGCAAAGACTTTAAAATGGATGTAATATGAGCTCTTCCCCTGGTCCTAGTCCAAACTCTAGCAGCAGAGTTTTGGATCAGTTGTAGCTGGTTTATTGTGCTTTTGGGTAAACTAGAGAGAAGAGCATTACAGTAGTCAAGCCTGCTGGTTATAAAAGCGTGCATTAGTCTCTCTGTCTGGCTCAGACTTTCTCATGTCTTATTGGACATTGAAGTTTATAAAAATTGCGAAAAAGTGTCCCTGTGCAGAGAGAGACACATGAAAGGAGCTCAGACATGTTTAAATCAGAACAAACAGCATCCTCTCCAGCAAACGCTCGCTGTAGGTTATTCCTCTATGAAAACCCGCAACACTCTGTGTGTCAAAGTACTCATGAGAAGAACACTTTCACACTCCAGGAGTGTAATACTGATCAGATTTATGTCCATTGCCCTGAACCCTCACAGCGTCTCTGTAACACTGATGAGCACTTACGAGCTCTGTGAGGCCCTGATTGGCTCTGATAGCCTCTGATGGGCTCCGTAGAGTCTGATGGGCTGTGGTGGGCTCTGATGGGTGTTTTGTAGCAGCTTTAGGCCTGGCTGTGCTCTTTACTGAAGCTCATAAATACTCAGAGACACGCGGGTGACGTCTGATTTACTCTTCTTATTATGTCTGTGTTTTCTGTGTCTGCTGGCAGTTTGTTCTCCTTTGTGATTTTACTGATCATTTCATCATCTTCTCTGTTAGGACAACTTTATATCTCTGACACAGTTGGGATTAAACCACAGAGACACAGCAGAGGACTCTGAGAGGTGCTGTCAGTCATAGGTTATAGATTCATTTAAAACTGGACCAAACCGACACACAGCCAGGACTGAAACAGTAAAAAATAAATGAATAAATGAATAAAGCTCTGAGGCTCTAATATTTTATAAAATACTCGAGGTCTCATTCATCCAGACAACATAAAGCAGAGGAGAGATGAGGAAGCAGCGGCAGCTAGCAGGCTAGCTTTAGCATCCCTCTACTTTCCCAACTCCAGATTTACAAGAATTATTGTGGATCTAAAAAACATTTGAGATTATCTCTCTTCGGATTACACTTCAATGAAACATTATTACTTTCTAACTGTTCTTAAAATGTTTCCATTTATTACAGTAACTTATGAGTGATCAGAAGAAGTATACTTCAAGGTTAAAGCATAGTTTCACAATGCAGAAATTAAATAAACCAAAATTACAGTAACTTCTTAGAATAAAAGCATGTTAAACAACATTTTATGAGGTAATGTCTTAAGTGTGCCAGTTGGAGATGTACTAAGTCTGCTATCAGTCTGCTTTTTGAGCCTCACCGGCAGCATGGCGTAGGTGCAGCGTAAGTCAAGTCTGCAGTGCTGACACGGCGTGCCCAAGCACATTTTGGTATTTTGGTGAGTGGCGCAGCCCGGCGTAAGTATCCCCCCTCCCTAACTCAGCTCCTCCCAGCGGCGTAAGTCATAGAGAGGGTGTGGAGTGGGTTTAACACAGCCGAGACCTGTTTTTGCCAAACAGATCAGCTCCTCTCCTCACCTTTAAATACGCCACCTGCGAGGCGTATTACAATTTTCGTGCAGTAGTCGAAGAGATCAAGAGATGTCTAAAGACAGTAATGTCACACGATGGCAACAGAAGGCAGCCCCTCAACAAGTGTCACTGTAAGCGCTGCAGAGGGCGTCCTGCACACTTTCTAAAATATGCGCAGATGGATTTGGTGTGTGTAAGGTTGGACCCACTGGTAAGAAAACCGTTTTCATAAATAAAGACACTCGCATAAAGTTGGATATATTCAAACCTCAAGTGACAAAGGTGGGTTGTGTGCACAGATCACAACATCAATTCCAATAATGGCATTAAAATCGGAACTACCTGTGTGTAAAGGATCGCATTGCGCTCCATGGCCTGGCTCTTTCTTTCATTGATGTTGGCATAGAAAATGATTTTAGCTCGCACAACTGAATATTATAATATTCGTATGTAAGCCTGACTCCAGATTGAATATTCACAGAATTTTAAGGATGCGAGGACATTAGATAAATGGGTTATTTTAAATGAAAGTTTCTTTTATTTTTATTATTATTTTTATCATTTAAATAAGGGCGAAGACACAAATGAGCTTGTACACAGAGTAGTCATGTTGTCATTTGCCATCACCTTTACATTATCATCATCATAACCAGAATGGACCACTGGTGAAAGGAAGGTTTTTTTAATGGGAAATTGTTGCTGTTGTCGTCTTCAGTGTTTTGGATGAGATCGTTTGTGACTTTATTCTGTTATGTGTTGACGGTACATTGAGAGTCACAAAATAAAAGAAAGAAAATCAGATATTTCAAAATTATTACTGCTGACGGGATCGAACCCACAGAGCAGTGAAAAACACATTTTACCGGCACTTCTCTTTACCCACTCAGCTACTGAATTTCTCTTTGTCTTTGAGGTTGGCGTAGTATTGGGCATGTCCGGATTCACGTACTCCTATGTTGTTTTAAAAAGCTCTCAATTTATTTTTCCGAACATGAGCATCATTTATTACAGATGAAGATGAAATTACTGTGTGACATGTGGTTCACAAAGCGTCTTCTGGAAGCCCGTCGGACCTTCTCTGAGACGCAGCTAAGGTTAGCTTGACCGTAAGCCTGCCTGGGACCAGGCTTGTCGCACTGGCTGAGTTACCATGGTTACCAAGCCACGCTAGCCCTAAGCCTCATTTGTGAAACGGAACTCTCACCAAAATTAGCCAAGCTAACTGAAATTAGCCAGGCTTTGAGCTAAGCCAGCTTCGTGGAATACCCCCCTGAAGGACAAGGTGTGGAGAGTCATAGCGTTGGATCTCTCATATGACGATGGTTTGTGTGCTTTAACAGTTTGTTAAACTTCTTTGTTCTAACTTTCGTCTGTGCTAAGTAACTTTAGCTCATAAGCTAACCTGTTCAGATACAACATACCATATGTATTTTTACTGTCTCAAACTCAATCGCGTTGCTGTCATGGCACCATTAGTTCTCAGTTGCTACCTTACGTTAATGGATTATAGTTTAATGTGCTTATCTGGTACTGGCCCCGACTCAGAATATTTCGTAATTTCGTGTTGTATATTAGCATTGGCCCGGGTGTGTCAGTACCTTAAGAGTTGAAAGAGTCCGTTCTTGCAGACCTAAATTAGCTGAATCAGTAGAAAGAGCCTTAACACTGAGGTTTCTTACCTTAGAAAGAACTTGAGATTATACAGCCTTTGGAGATCAAATTCATGGATCTGAATCAGTGTGATCTAAACATGTTTCAACTTTCATGTTGTGAAAGAAATATGAGCAGGCCAGCAGGGCAAAATTATTGCTGCAGCACTTAAGACATTGTAAAGGGGAAGTTTGGTCAATCTTAAATAAAAGAATGAACCAAACCATGACTTCAAAACGAGTCACATACTGAACCGCAAACTAAATTACAAAAACACACCATTCATATCAAAATACAAACTTTATTACACACTTTTCAAACGCTACAGACACAATGACAACACAACAAACCACAGACAGAAGCATCTTAGCTTCAACTTCAGCTACTCAGCATCTAAATAAATACAGACAGGTATCAAAGTGAGCATCAGTGAGAACCTGCTGCTACAGACCCCCCCCCAACAGACATCACCACACAGTGCAGAGTGCAGCACACGGCATGAAACACCTCTGTGTGCAGGCATGTAAAGACACACCTGTGTGACAGCAACAGGGGGAAATCCCTCTTATATACTCAGTATGTGTGAACCAGTAATGAACAATAAGAGCCCAGCTAACAGCAGACCTGCAGTGCTTCCCACAAAGGACACACAGAACAGCAGTTACAGCTCTTTGAGTCTGTTTGAAAGTCTGAGAGCAAAGCAACATCTCTGACACTGATCAGCGGACTTTTATTTTGAAGGGGCAAGGTGAAACTCTTGGTCACCTGTAGCTGTAGCTGTGACTCATTAATATTGGACTGAATCAGAGCAAACACATTATCAGTCCGAGTCCATTCACATGTTGCTGTTGGTTTGATTTTTGAGCTGACGTGTGGGACTCATTCGCGGCACACCTGTCTGATAGAAAAACACTTGACACCTTCAGCTTTGTTTTCACTTCGTTCATGGTCATCTCTGAACTGATGCCATGTCCCAACACAGCTCAACAGCTCTCCTCTGTCTCTAAAACATGGTCAATGTCACATGGCTTAAATGAGGGATGGTCTCTGAATATTTAAACTCTTAGACTATTTTCAGAACAATTTTCTTGAAGATGACGAGAGCTCAGTTTGACTAAAATCTGACACCACTGTCAGCTAAAACGTGTCCTGATACAAACTCAGACTTAACTCTAAACTAATGACAATACACAGGCTGACGGGAAGCTGAAGTAATCACATCAATGAGCAGATTTCTACTGAGGTTAGAATTAAGGATTTGTCAGGACTGACTGCAGGGAGACGCTTGAATCTAATCCAGTTTGATTTTGAATGGAGTTTGGTTTAACAGTTTCTAAAGCGTCTATTTATCTCTGATTGGCTGAGATAGCATCAAATGACTCCTTATCTCCATTACCTCAGAATATGTGAAAATGATGGTGCTGGTTCATCAGCAGTATTTCTAACCAGTATCTTTTCACAAACGATCATACTCAGCAAACCCCCAGACCTTTCCTCTGTATGGATTTGACATGATTATTTACACCGTTATAATTCTATTGTGATGTTTTTGTATATGATGGTCATGGCTGTTGCTTTTACTCATATCTTTGTGAGAACAGACCTTCAGAGCCCCAAAACAAACACAAACATAGGAAAGGTTGTGACAAAATGATTTCATTCGTAGGTCAGTGAAGTTTGTGGTGCAGACTGAGATTATTGTGGTAATCTACTTGGATTAACAGTCCCAGGTAGGAGCAGAGGAGGACAAAGAGTTTCCACTGGAGGACTCTGGGGGGACAGATATTCAGATAAAAATACAGATATGTCAGCTGTGCATTCAGCATTGTTATTCAGCAACACCACATGACACAGCTGCCTCCTCCTGAGTACTGTTATATTAAAATCGGATTTATCAGACAGCCTGTGAGCAGACCTTATTGATTGTAGATATAAAACAGTTTTCTCTGATCAGAGAGGTTCACCACCCCAGTGCTGCAGACACACACAGGGATCATGAAGGGAAATGATGAGGATGATACTTCTGATCATGTCGAAATGATGGCGAGAGGATAGCACTCCAGCTAAGTTTCACTTTAAACCAGTGATGCACAATGATTTCTGCATCATACCAGTATCAGCAACAGAGTTTGTGAAGGTGGTATCAGGAGTAAACTATTAGAATAAACTCCTCAGTTACAGCTGTGTGGACTGTTGTTCAGTGTTGTTCTGAGTTTGCACAGAAGAGGAAGAGAAAGTACAGCTGAAAGGAAAAAATCCCGGAGCATGTGTTTAATTCAGCACTTTTGATAAGGTGTAAAGATACTGATGTGTCTATAATAGGCATGTGCCGATATGAAAAATCTGATATCATGATATTGGTGGCCCAAAATATCACGATTCACGATATTATCACGATATTAGCGCATTGCTTTTAACGTTATTAAAAATGGCAAAAAACTGCGAAATCACTTCTCTGTGCACAGCATGACACGCACAAACAATATGAGCAATAACGTGAGGTTGGGAGCATTAGCTGTTTGGAGCTTAAGTTAGCAGAAACGTCACTAACGTTGTCAATAATAAGCAGTAGAGTAGACCCAACTTGTTGTGGTCATGTTGTTTTTACCTTGATTTTGGGCGAATGATGCTGGATGGTGTTCACGGAGATGACTTTAGACTCCCAATGTTTTATTTGGACAAATAATTGTTTGAAAATAATGTGAGAGAGCTGACTACACTTGATTGTTCATTTGCTATTTATATTTACTTAATTTATGATGAATTATTTCATGTCAATAATTCATTAATAACCCGATATGTAACAATGACCTGAAATGTTAATAAAAATAATTACAGTGCAATGCATGATGTAATTTATCGCTCAGTTAGTGACCATCACAGTGCATAGTGGGAAACAACGACTCCAGGGTGGATCCATTTTTATTCATAATCTAGAGGGAGCCACAAACTTGGACACAGTCTTAGCTTACTTTATTCTTGGTCATATAACGAGGATACTTTTATTTTGAAGAGCTGTAGTAAGTCAAACACATCAAAGGCAGTCAGCACCACGACTGGTTTCCGACTCAGTGATCTGCATCATCTGTTCTGTGTGCAGATTTGTCCCTGTTTTGTCAGGTACACTCACTTCTCTGTAATAACGCAGATCTGATGAACAGAGGTGGTGTACACTTATTTAACTGGATAGGAGACAGGAAACACCAAATATGGGTAAAGCCCGAGAGCTGTAATAAGCTCTCTGCTGACAGAGCTGATCACAGATGGACTCAGCTTGTTGTTGGAGATGACGAACGACTCTCAGGGTCGGTCTGATGATGACCACAACACCTTTCTGACCTCTCTCTGGAAAGCTAATCATCACAGCAGGTCAACCATTACTCCACCAGCTGTAACACAGCGTAACCACGCCATGGAAACACATCATCAGCTGTGAAAGACCTGGACCTGGACCCCTAAATGAGAGAGGTTTGGATGAGTCATCCTCACCCTGAGCCTGACTCTCCCCTGGATGAAGCTTTGTCATATTATCATGCTCTATAATCCAGACTAAATACCTGACAGCGTTAACCTCTGTAAAACAGGTCCAGTTCAAACGGGCCTATGCAGCTCTGATGGTCTGCTGCATGTGCTGCAGAGCGTGCTGCTGAGAGGACAGTTACCTACCTGAACCAGCATGCCCTCTGCTGGACAAACCACTTTATAGCACCACACTTACAGCACTCATCGCTACAATTCTGTGCGCAAGATGACATTTCTCAGTCAAGACGAATATATGCACGCCAATACAGCTGACAAATCTCACTGATTTATGAGCTGCTTTCCTAGTGAAAGTGAAAAAAGTGAAGTGAAAACCACCAAAAATAGGCCACACACACACACACACACACACACACACACACACACACACACACACACACACACACACACACACACACACACACACACACACACTGAAAGGCTTTAGCATCAGGAGACATTTGAGGTTGAGTGTTTTCCTCTAATAGCACAGTAAAACGACAGTCAAACAACATCTGCAAACAGACACAGCAAACACACACCTGGTAACCCGTCTACATCAGAGTGAGTGAGCATGCTCAGGAGTCAGATTAGAGTGAAGGTAAGAGACAGAAGAAGAAGAAGAGCAGCATGTTCACAAGGCGTCTGTTTCTCTTTAAAGGTCATTTTGTCAGTGATATGATTGGATGCTGCTGTAACAGGCTGTAGAATTGTTTAAATGTATCTGAAGACTGTTCGGCTTCTTGATAAATATGTAACAAAAAGATGAAAAAATAAATTAAACATAAATTTATAGGGACAGCAGCAAAATATAACTTTGCTGTATGTGATGCTTGGACCCTGTTGGATGCAAATGAGGACCAAATTCAGGAGGATTACTGTGCTTCAACGAATGCTTGAATTTAAAAAGTGACATAGTTACATTTTGGGTTTTATTACTTTTTTTTTTTTTTTTAATCACATGACAGGTTGGGCTCTTACAGGGCTGTAAAAAAAAATAATAAAAATAATAATAAATAAACTCACAGATAGAATGATAAATTTATGAGTTCACTGATCTACAATTCATATTCCAGCTTTATTTTCATAGCCTCATTGTCTGGTCAAGGCCACTTCTACCATTCAGGAAGCAGCTTCCATATCCCAAATAAATGTAGGCATAAGGTCCTTACACGCCGGGAGTGTTTTTCTCATACGATTATTTCTAAAGTTTCGCATACTGTGTTTCAACTTCTGACCTGATCTGATCTGATCAGATTAGGTGTTGTTGTGACGTCTGATTCACTGGTATATCCAACATGGCCGACCGGCCGATTGTTTACGTGTCAGAGATCAGAGTGCTTTTTGATAAAAGACACAAATATTACAACGATAACGACCTGAAGGATAGTTTGTGTGCTTTAACAGTTTGCTAGACGTCTTTGTTTTAACTTTCATCTGTGCTAAGTAACTTTAGCTCGTAAGCTAACCTGTTCAGATACAACATACCATAAGTATTTTCACTGTCTCAAACTCAATCACAGTGTTGCTGTCACAGCACCATTAGGTCTCAGTTGTTACCTTACGTTTATGGATTATAGTTTAATGTGATTATCTGGTACTGGCCCCGACTCAGTACATGCTATCATGACAGACAGTCATCTCAACACTAGTGTCAAATCAGAACTGAAAAACAGTCAGTCTGCTGTTGTGTCAGTTTTCTCACTTCCACCTGGGACACGTCTTTTCCCCCCCAGAAAGTCGCAAAATCGCAACAGGCTTGATGTGTATAGTCAGGCCCGTCAAAATTCGCCTCGGAATATTTCGTGATTTCACGTTCTACGTTTGTGTCAGCCCCGGTGTGTACAGACCTTTAGACTCAGGGCTTCAATTTTTTGTTACATCCACCAGGTAGCATCAGTTCCATCATTGAAATGAGGCCAAATTGCTTCAGATTTTCACTACTATTCTTCTTTGTAGCCACTTGAAATTTAAAGGCATGGTTGACGATCGTTGAGGCAGATTTGAAAAAACGCCCCAACTCCCACACACAAACCTCTTTCCTCTGTGCTCCTCGATAACTCCCCCCTGAACCTGTATCACCCTCCCCACGACACACCACCTCTGGCAGAGCGAGAAGCCAGCCGGCAGAAGATCCTACGCTAGCTTCAAATAGCCTGGACAGCTACCGTGTTGACATTGCAGAGACTGATAAGAGTTATTTATGTAACATGTGACACGATAAAAGGCGATAAAAGTTACCATTTCAATAAATACTCTGCTGTCTCGGTGTCTGTTTTTAGGCCCAAATCCTGGTGGAGCTTTCTCCACCTTGGAGGATGACCCGATGTTTATTCGAGTTCGATTCCTCACTTGGTCAAATTTCCTCTTCGACTCTGTCCTTTCTTCTGTCGGCTTGTGTTTTCTTCCCACTATAGGTGGTGGGGCAAGCAGAAGTGTTTTTTTCTGTTCTTCTCCTTCTCAGCTCCTGTAGCTAAGCTGCTTCACTACTTTTAGCCGCTCAGAGCTCTGAGGAGGGCTGGTAGAGTGGGAGGGGACGCGTCGGAACTACGGGAGAGGGGTGTATACAGCCAGGTGATTAGATAGAGAGGTGGGGCAGGAGATTGACCAATAGGAGCTGTCTGGGACGGATGGCTCCCATTGGTCAATGTTTTTGCAGCCCTGCACCTGCTAGGATGGACAGATTTTTTTTCCATTATTTTTTCTCTTCACTTTGTTGACATCGCACAATAGGACCATGATCGCCGTATTAACGAGGTTCACATTAATTACCAATCTCTCCAGTTGTTAACCATGCCTTTAAGTGACTTTCAACCTGTAACAGCAGCATTAGAGTATACAGTTATCAAAACAGCACGTGAGCCTCCAGCCTGAGCCTTACATCAGAGGAAGATGGCTGCTGTATGAGTGTTTTAGATGAGAGAGCAGAAACAGTGAACAGTGAGTGCGCAGGTGAAGTTAAAGGTGTGTAGCATCAGCTCAGCTCAGTGAAAGGACAGTCTGACACTCACTTTTTAAGCGCAGTGATCAAGTACATGCTCCTGGGCATCAGCAGGTACACCTGGTCTGTCAGCACGGCATTGATGATCTTCTTGACCGCATACTTTGGATCCAGGATGGGCAGCACACTCGGCCACCTGATGAAGAGCAGAACCGGGATTAAGATATCAACAATACATCATCTGTCAGCTCTGAGCCACTCACCTACACCCACTAGATTCCTCTGCTCTAATGAGTTCATGTCCTCACCTGTCACCTGTGGATGAGTTGTAGGTATGAAGTGAAGGTGTTATTAATGAAACAGAGGAACATGACAACTCATGTTCTTTCAGAGGGCAGATTCAGAACCAATCTGCACACCTGTGGAGCTCTGGAGGATTTGCTTTGGTCTCTTTTCAGGTACAGCTGTTTTGATATGTGACAGTAACAGAGCTGCCTCTGAACTCATTTCCTGTTTAGATATCTAAATCTCACTTTAAAGACTCTATTTTCTACCAGTGTTTACAGTTTTAGAACTTCAGGAAGCATTTCATGTCTTTAAATCAGACGCCTTGTATTACACAAGAACACTTGTCCTGTTTAACCTGAGGGGAAGTGTGCGTCACTGTTAGGTTGTCAGGGTTTTGTGGTCAGAAAAGCTCCTAAAAACAGCTGCCTCTCCTCTGATATCATGTACATGTGGATGGGGCGGGGCTTGAACAGATTCCTTCTCCTGACAACAAATCAGCCCTGACTGTGTGGGCGTGTTCAGAGAGATTGACTTATGAGGAGAGTTTTCACAGCTTTGGTTATCTCTGGGACATCGAGCTCCAAGTCATGATGTCACACAAATCCAATCCATGCCCCGCCCACCTCTACTCTGAGCAGAGATACAGTGGATATAGAAAGTCCACATACCCCTGTTCATGCAATATGAGATCCCTCTGATGCTTTGGAAGCTCTCTGTGGACCATGACTTGTGCTGGAAGATGTGTCTACAAAAATGTCAGGAAAAGTTACTAGAACAGCTGAACTTAATTTGGGGTTAATCAGAGGCACTTTAATTGGTGACAGGTGTGTGCGGACTCCAATTTAACCTGAGTTTGAATGTTATTGGTTAAATCTGAACACAGCCACATCCCCAGTTATTAAAGGGTGTGCACACTTGTGCAACCACATGATCTCAGTTGTTTATTTTTACTTCACCTCCCTGAAAGATTTCTGTTTGTTTTTCAATTGTGTTTTACAGGTTATAGGTCACATTAAAGGTGGAAGAAGTTGTGAAAATGTTTATCTTGCTGTCATTTTCTTATATCATGAAAACCTGGCAGTTGCACAGGGATGTGTAGACTTTTTATATCCACTGTAACTGGGATGCATGTTAGTATTTATCTGAACATGTACACCTCTCCTCACACAGAGCATGCTGTGGCATTTTTTTTTTTATTCAAAAAGGACCTGAGGTAGAGATGTGAGGAGCAGGACGTGACAGGCCAGGTGTCTGTGCTGACATGGGGAGGGGGGGTCTGCTGGATGAGTTAATGAAGGAAGACAAAAATGAAGACAGTCACTGGTCAGCCAACACCTTTACATCTGGACCTCAGGACCTGAGGAGGGGACCAGGAGGAGGGACAGATTTTAACAAAGATCAGCTCTGCCAGTCAGAAAGCAGACCTGAGGCATGAATTCATGTTTCCACTCTCAACAGTGGGCAGCTTTTTCTACGGGTCAACCCACACTGGTTTACAAGGCCAATACTAATACTGGTTATCAGTCCTCTATGAGACCAATGACTGATGTGCAAAACCGGTATCCATTTACATTACAAACCCAGACTAAAAGCTTGACTTAAATACCTTAAACAAATGTTGAATTGAATTGAATGTCTGCAGTACTGCCAATTTTAGCTCGTTTGAGACTAATCGGTAATCGGCCAAAACTCGCCATTTTCACTGATATTTTCAGAAATAAAATGCGGAGAATAAGATTTCCTGAAACCAGCGCTGCGCAGTAGCGATGCGCACATTCGGCTACGCAGTCACAGAGGGTCGCTGTGATGACGCTTGGCTCAAACAGCGTATCCCCCGGGAGAGCTACGCAATCCCTGAACACCCATAGGCTGTATCAGGTGTCAATAAAAAAAAAACATGAACCCCCTAATAACTTTTAAAAATGGAGCTGTACAGAAAAAAAAGAGGACTTGAGCACAAACCAGTCTAACTGTAACTACATGTCAACATCGCAAGCAGGGGGGAGAAAAAATAATGTTCTGTGTAATAAATTTCTAAAGTTTGTCCACAGCTCCACAAGGTTTGCTGGAGGAGGCGGGATTTATGACCTTTACTGCAGCCCATCACCAGAGGGTGCTGTTCTCGGAGTGGCTTCACCCAGCAAGGAGGCAGACTCTGTCCATTCTTTATACAGTCTATGGTTCCACCATTTAAAAAGTTCCCTGATTCATGGTCCTTTCACACCGAGACCGGTAGTTGAAAACGCTTTTCTAGTCCGACTTTGATCATTCAGTTTTCCTGTCGGCTTGAAGACCAGTAGCCTAAAGTATATCTACAGTATATATATATTTATTTTTTTTCATAACTTCATAAAAAAAAATTAAAAATCGGCCGATTAATCGATAATCAGATTTTTTCCCCCTCATAATCGGTGTCAGCATTGGCCCCAAAAAAATCCATATCCATCGGGGCCTAGTCCGCAGAGATGCTGCAGAGAGTCTGGTTGGTGTGGCTGCTGTCAGGAAATATTGTGATGGTGGTGAAACAGTGAGATTTGTGCCCTCTGTCTTTACAGGAACTCTCATGCACCCTGTTGTAAACATTGGCCTGAGGGTCCTGAGTCAGCATGTTTCAATCCACCAGACTTGATTTGATTTGTTTAGTTCATATAGAGCTGTTTTATCTAAAGGTGACTGAGGGCACAGACAGGGACATGTCTCCTGTTGGCAAAAAAAAAGACGGAAATCCCTCCACCAGCAGCTTCACTTAAAGTCAGTTTTAAAATTTGAACTGCTTGTAATCCAAAGAGTAGCCGTCAAGAACAACATATCTACTCCTCATACATATTTTATGCATCTAATGTCTGAACCTCTCAACAACAACTTACGTCAGTGTTGCTTCAGGAAGTAAAAAACACCCTTCTGGGGTGGGACATTTCACAGAGTCTGTATGTTGAGCTGTTTGTTATTCTCCAGATGTTATCTGTGCTGTTGTTTTCTGTCACCTCTGGTTATAGCAGAGTTATCTGCCTGCAGGCTGCTGGATAACAACCTGAAAACTTCACTTCATCATGAGACAAGATGACTAAAGAGATAAGGGATAATCAGCAGACCAGCAGCCTCCAGCTCCACAGACCGAGACAGGTAATATTTGAGCAGCTGTCAGTCAAAATGATTAACAAGACCCCTATAAGAGGGTCCCACTGTTAATCTGCTTTTATTGAGAAAGACCTGTGATCAGTTTTTATACTCTCACTCCAGAGATGATGGGACAGAGGCTGAAACTGAAAAATGTTATTGTTGAATAAAAAAAATCTCTGCTCATCTTAAACATGCTGTCACCAACATGTTTGTAAAAAGTAGTTCCAGCCAGGATGAGGTTTTTAGCTCTTCTTTCACAAACACTTAAATAAATGGTAAATGTAAGTGAGTTCTCTATTCTTTAGAGCAGAGGATACAGCATCCAAGATTTCCAAAAAGAATGTCAGATTTTGATTGGTCGGACCACAGGACAGTTTTGCTCTTCTCGTCAGTCCACCTGAAATGGGCTCAGCTCCAGAGAAGTCTCTGGTGTTTCTGGATCCTGTTTCTATTTGGTTTCCTCTTCGTATGGTCCAGTTTTAACCTCATTTGTGGATACAGTGATGAACTGTGTTCACAATACAACGGTTTTTGAAGTGATTTGGAGTCCATGCAGTGGTTCCCACTCCAGAGTCCTGTCTGTTTATAATGCAGTGCTGCTTAAGGGTCAGAAGATAGAACCATCCAGTCTTGGTTTTGGTCCTTGTCCCTTTAGTACAGAGATTTCTCCAGATTTTCTGAGTCTTTTAATGAGGTTATGTTCTGTAGATGATGATATCCACTCATTCTTTCATATTTGACACTCAGGCACAATTTTCTGAAACTGTTGAACTATTAGCTTGCACAGTCTCTCACTGAGTGGTGAACCTCTTCCACTTTTCTTCTGAGAGACTCAGCCTCTCAGTCATTTTACTAACCTGTTGGGAATTAGGTCATGTTCACACCTAAAGGTCCTTTTCCTGATTCGAATCCAAGGCAAGACGATACATTTGTGCTGATTGTTTAACTGGTCCGGTTTGCGTTCTCAAAGGACAAACTCAATCGCTCCAACGTAAAAACGGAACCGGAAGTCACGTGACCGCGAACATCGTTCGGTTATTGGTCATTAGTTTATGCGGGAATACAAACCCCGCTCTGCTGTCTTCACCTGTGATGGAGCATCGTAGGTTGATTTAGCTTTTACTACTCATCTGGAGCGCGTATCAAAAGACGCTAGTCAATCGTGCATGTGAACGGTTTGTTAGCCATCAAGCGCGAACTGCGGCATTAATTTTTACATTCCGGAGTAGACGGATAAAGACGAGACGGTGACAGGCATTAATGAGAGTGTATGGTGCGTTTCCTGTGATTGGTGTGGATGACGTTCACACCAGAAATGAACCGCTCCAGAGTTCACTTGAAAGTGGTCCGAGACCACCTCTTCAGGCGGACCAGAGTTTGAGGTCAGCATTCACACCGACCCAAACGAACCGCACCAAGGGGGTAAACGCTCCACGGTTCGGTTCAACCGGACTAAACGAAGGTTGTGTGAATGCGCCCTTAACCTAACCATTAGTTGGAGATGTCCCTCCAGATGTTTTTTTTCAGAATTACACAACTTTGTACCCGTTTGATTGTTCCTCTAACTTTTAACAAATGTCTTGCCGACACCAAATTGTAAATGAGCGGATAATATTCATGGCATAGTTTCAATATCTAATATTTTTAGTTAAAATAGATTTCAATCTGTGACTCTGCAACTTGATTTTATTCTCTCGGTCTCTTTCTGTTTTTTTCACAGACAGGTTAGTCTGATGTCCACTTCATAACAGCGATGATAAATTAAAGTCTGTCTAGCTCTGACGCCTCTGAGTTTTACCTTGCAGCTCGATTTCATGCTCCGTTAAAGTTTCACACAACTCCTCTTCTCTGATACTGTCTTACATAAACTGTGATCCTGACCCCTCATCTTCTGAGCAGACCATCGCAGCCGGGCTCTAACCTCTGAGCTGAATGACCGTCTGAATGCACTGGTACACACTCAGACACACGCTGTAATAAGCAGGAACATGAAAATCTATGGGCGTCCACTCTCTCACTCTCTCTGGGGTCTGAAGTGGAGGAGGTTAACAATCAGAGTGAAGGACGCAGGAACCATCTCTGTGAGCATTCAGCACTGTGCTAATATGATCGGAAAAAAGGGGAAACAGGTGACCATGTGTGAGCTTGTGATGGAGAAATGACATGAAGAGCGATGAGCTGATCTGATCAGTTGGTTCAGAATGAGCAGCGCTGAGCTCAGCTGATGACTGAGGCCATCAGAGCGAGTCAAAGAGAAGTTGATTGACTCTGTGATGAGAGTGGTGTCTCCATCCAAGTTTGAAGTGTATATCATGATGATCTCTCTGCTCTCAGACTGAAATAATGGGACACAGAGCTGACCAGCCTGACAAACACCAGCGTGAAGAACAACATGCTCCATAACAAACAGGTGGAAATAAATTGTCACAGAGCGGATACGGCGGACATTCAATTCAAACGATTTAACAAAGACATACTTGGTCTGGCATCCGTCAAACATCCCCGTGTTGATGAAGTATGGGCAAACAATGGTGGTCTTCACGCCGTCTTTCCCCAATGCCAACAACTCCAGACCCACGGACTCTGCAAAACCCACGGCTGCAAACTTACTGGCACAGTAATCTGCAGAGAGAAACAGCAAAAGAAGAGAAAATGAGCCGTAATAAATTATCTGAAGCCAGTCTGTGCAGGAAGATTTCTGCCAGGCTGGTTAAAATTCAACAGAGTGAGACCTGCCTGGGGAAGGGGGGAATCTAAACTGTACAAGTCAGAAATATATTAGAAGTTATGTTACAAGATGTCAACAAAACTGCAAAAACAGTCAAAATTATCTGGGATCAGCTGGGAAGTCAAAATAATAAAAAAGTGAAAATTAAAGGGCCACAAAGTCAAAATCAGGAGATGTGATATCAAAGTGTAACATAAAAATAGTACATTAGGATACAAAAAAGGTAAAAATTTTAAATGAAATAAAAATCATTGGATTAAAAAGAATAAATGATAGATATTAAATGATAGATATTATGATAGATAATAAAAACTATGAGACAGAAAGTAAAAACTGTGAAAGAGTCAAAATAATTGGGTGAAAAAAAATTAATGAGATAAAAAGCCATAATTATGAAACAGAAAGCCAAATTCAAGAGACAGACAGTCTCATTATTATGAATAAAGAGTTAAAATGATGACAATAATGTGAAATTATAAGATAAAAGTCTGAACTATTGGAAATAAAGTCAAACATATATATATATATATATATATATATATATATATATATATATATATATATATATATATATATATATATATATATATACATATATATAAAATGACAGTGTTTCAAAACTTAAAATAAGAAAATAGCCAATGTTTTTCCATAAAAAGTCAAAATGATAATATTAACAGTCATGAATATAAAATTATCTGTCAGAACTACAAGATAAAAAGCTGAAATCATGACTTTAAAAAGTGGTGATTTTTGAGAGTTCTGCATAAGATGACTTATAAGACAACAATTACCTCAAAGTTTATGATTTATTAACTCAAAATTTTGTCTTTTTTTCTGGATTATTGTCTTTTTTTATCTAGAACCATGACCCAATATTCAGGAGTTTTCTCCTCGGGGACCATTGTAACCTTTTTTTACTGATAAAAACGGACTCTCATCACCGTCTGACAGGAAACAGTTGATCTTGATCAGGACAGCAAAAATCTTCACTCTGATCTTTAACCTGATCTCACCACATCCTGATCAGAGTGCTTCTCAATAATCTGCACTGAATGTATGACTGTGGCTCTGTGAGTCTGATCTGTAGAGGAGGAGGGAAGAGACCAGCCTACATCATGACCTGTGTTCATGAAGACACACAAACTGTTTCATTTTAGCTGCTGGCTGCAGCTTTTTACTCAGGAGCGAAAGAAACAGATTGAGAGATGACGTTCATTTGAAGAGAACACATTAAAAATATAAGATTCTGATTTCTTTAAGATATTTGCTGTGAAACAACACAGATTACTAAAGTAGGTGTGCTTCTTTATCAGAGCAGAAAAATGACCTGACCCTGAGGTGATATTTACAGGAATGAGGTCCACTGTGTAGACTCTGAGCTGTACCTATCACTGAGATTCAAAGGCAGTGAGTCTTTACAGTGAGAGGCCGAGTTTTCAGCTGTATGCAGAGAAAGACAAACTGACTGTCAGAGAGCTCAGGCTATCAGGTTTCCCCTCAGATTATCAGAGAATCCATACAGGAAAACTTTCACCTCAAACACTGCAGCTCTGACTATCAGCTCCAGATAAACTCCACACAAGTCGGTGAGAGTTCACTCGATTTCACCATTTCATAGATCTGAAGTGGTGAAACATAATTATTCTACAGTGATTATGATTTTCTGCTCTCTGTTGTCTGTAATTCTTGTACTTTGACTAAAAGAAGCAAGAGCTCACTTGCTGGTTTAATTCTGGAGGCAGCTGAGCACCTTCTACTCCTGAGGGCAGTTTTCACATGCTCTTTCCCTACCTCTTCACATTTAGATTCCTTAACTCTGACATTTTATTGTAAAATCTTACTCCAGTTCTACCCTGTTAGTTTTTAAAACTGTCTGCTGTCCCTAAACTACCCACTTCTCCAGAATCTTAAAGGAGCAGCTATCAAACCGAGGAGGGTGAAGAGTGGAGCTGTCAATCAGAAATAATCTGGCAATATGATAGGGGCTGACAAATAAACATATTGGGATATTTAGGGATACTGCAAGCAGGCAACATATTGTAATATTGTAAAGCCATAGTATAAAGACCTCATGAACAAATACAGCTCATTTTGAGGACTCTGCAGCTGTGGAGCACCTTCACTTTAACCTCTTCGGACAACCTCGACAAAACCCTGCCAGTGGTGTGTTGTTAGGAGGGTAAGAGGTGTCAGAACCTTAATGTCTTCATTAGATTACTGCAGATTACTTGAGGTATAATACAATTTACTGTGTACTAAATTAGGTACAGAGAGACTAGGGTTGGGTATTGAGAATCGAGTATCGGTGGGGATCAGGACTAGCATTTCAATTCTTCCGGTATCGTTCAAATTTTAAATTTTCGATTCCAAGTTTCGATGCCAGAATCCGTCCACCGGAAGAAATAGCCGCCGAACACCAACGAAGAAGAAGCCACCGAACACCGAGGACGGAGCGTATGAGACCAAGCCACAGAGAGAGAGATAAAAGAGAGACAGAGAGAGAGAGAGAGAGAGAGAGAGAGAGAGAGAGAGAGAGTGCATTACAACCCACAGCAATGCAGTCGCTGTGGTCAGAAGTTTGGCTAACTTTAGCAGGAGGAATGAACTCTTATCTCAGTGCAACATTAGCAATACAGTTATATCATGCAAAGGAGGGTAAACGGCCAAAATGATTAAAAACCTCAGGATTCATGGAGGAGAAATACCCAAATGCCTGTCTTTGACGCGCTTCGCCAGTGTTGTGTCGTAGAATGCACCCCTGTCGTAGAATGCCCCCCTGACGGGAGCATGGTTGAAAGCGCTTAACTAGGCGAAATAATCCAAGTTTTTCTTACTGTTAGACGGAACTAAAGCGGTTGCCTTTAATGATTTCATTCAGGCTATTCAGATATGCCGAAAACAATAGTCCTCTGATTCTGAATATTTGCTGCCCCGAAAATATAATGTTCTCTACCTTGACAGCTTACTGTACAGATATACACTCACCGGCCACTTTATTAGGTACACCTGTCCAACTGCTCGTTAACACTTAATTTCTAATCAGCCAATCACATGGCGGCAACTTAGTGCATTTAGGCATGTAGACATGGTCAAGACAATCTCCTGCAGTTCAAACCGAGCATCAGTATGGGGAAGAAAGGTGATTTGAGTGACTTTGAACGTGGCATGGTTGTTGGTGCCAGAAGGGCTGGTCTGAGTATTCCAGAAACTGCTGATCTACTGGGATTTTCACGCACAACCATCTCTAGGGTTTACAGAGAATGGTCAGAAAAAGAAAAAATATCCAGTGAGCGGCAGTTCTGTGAGTGGAAATGCCTTGTTGATGCCAGAGGTCAGAGGAGAATGGCCAGACTGGTTCGAGCTGATAGAAAGGCAACAGTGACTCAAATAACCACCCGTTACAACCAAGGTAGGCAGAAGAGCATCTCTGAACGCACAGTACGTCGAACTTTGAGGCAGATGGGCTACAGCAGCAGAAGACCACACCGGGTGCCACTCCTTTCAGCTAAGAACAGGAAACTGAGGCTACAATTTGCACAAGCTCATCGAAATTGGACAATAGAAGATTGGAAAAACGTTGCCTGGTCTGATGAGTCTCGATTTCTGCTGCGACATTCGGATGGTAGGGTCAGAATTTGGCGTCAACAACATGAAAGCATGGATCCATCCTGCCTTGTATCAACGGTTCAGGCTGGTGGTGGTGGTGTCATGGTGTGGGGAATATTTTCTTGGCACTCTTTGGGCCCCTTGGTACCAATTGAGCATCGTTGCAACGCCACAGCCTACCTGAGTATTGTTGCTGACCATGTCCATCCCTTTATGACCACAATGTACCCAACTTCTGATGGCTACTTTCAGCAGGATAATGCGCCATGTCATAAAGCTGGAATCATCTCAGACTGGTTTCTTGAACATGACAATGAGTTCACTGTACTCAAATGGCCTCCACAGTCACCAGATCTCAATCCAATAGAGCATCTTTGGGATGTGGTGGAACGGGAGATTCGCATCATGGATGTGCAGCCGACAAATCTGCGGCAACTGTGTGATGCCATCATGTCAATATGGACCAAGCTCTCTGAGGAATGCTTCCAGCACCTTGTTGAATCTATGCCACGAAGAATTGAGGCAGTTCTGAAGGCAAAAGGGGGTCCAACCCGTTACTAGCATGGTGTACCTAATAAAGTGGCCGGTGAGTGTATATATATATGTGTATATATATATATTTATACACACACGAATGTATATATATATATATATATATATATATATATATATGTATAAAATGACAGTGTTTCAAAAAAGAAAATAGCCTAAGTTTTTCCATAAAAAGTCAAAATGATAATATTTACAGTCATGAATATAAAATTATCTGTCAGAACTACAAGATAAAAAGCTGAAATCATGACTTTAAAAAGCGGTGATTTTTGAGAGTTCTGCATAAGATGACTTATAAGACAACAATAACCCCAAAGTTTATGATTTATTAACTCAAAATTTTGTCTTTTTTTCTGGATTATTGTCTTTTTTTATTTAGAACCATGACCCAATATTCAGGAGTTTTCTCCTCAGAGCCCATTGTGACCTTTTTTTACTGATAAAACGGACTCTCATCACCGTCTGACAGGAAACAGTTGATCAGGACAGCAAAAACCTTCACTCTGATCTTTAACCTGATCTCACCACATCCTGATCAGAGTGCTTCTCAGTAATCTGCACTGTATGACTGTGGCTCTGTGAGTCTGATCTGTAGAGGAGGAAGGAAGAGACCAGCCTACATCATGACCTGTGTTCATGAACACACACAAACTGTTTCATTTTAGCTGCTGGCTGCAGCTTTTTACTCAGGAGCTAAATAAACAGATTGAGAGAAGACGTTCATTTGAAGAGAACACATTAAAAATATAAGATTCAATATTTGCTGTGAAACAACACAGATTACTAAAGTAGGTGTGCCTCTTTATCAGAGCAGAAAAATGACCTGACCCTGAGGTGATATTTACAGGAATGAGGTCCACTGTGTAGACTCTGAGCTGTACCTATCACTGAGATTCAAAGGCAGTGAGTCTTTACAGTGAGAGGCCGAGTTTTCAGCTGTATGCAGAGAAAGATAAACTGACTGTCAGAGAGCTCAGGCTATCAGGTTTCCCCTCAGATTATCAGAGAATCCATACAGGAAAACTTTCACCTCAAACACTGCAGCTCTGACTATCAGCTCCAGATAAACTCCACACAAGTCGGTGAGAGTTCACTCGATTTCACCATTTCATAGATCTGAAGTGGTGAAACTTCTCCAGAAGCTTAAAGGAGCAGAATCAAACCGAGGAGGGTGAAGAGTGGAGCTGTCAATCAGAAATAATCTGGCAATATGATAGGGGCTGACAAATAAACATATTGGGATATTTAGGGATACTGCAAGCAGGCAACATATTGTAATATTGTAAAGCCATAGTATAAAGACCTCATGAACAAATACAGCTCATTTTGAGGACTCTGCAGCTGTGGAGCACCTTCACTTTAACCTCTTTGGACAACCTTGACAAAACCCTGCCAGTGGTGTGTTGTTAGGAGGGTAAGAAGTGTCAGAACCTTAATGTCTTCATTAGATTACTGCAGATTACTTGAGGTATAATACAATTTATTCTCCTAAATTAGGTACAGAGAGAGACTAGGGTTGGGTATCGAGAATCGAGTATCAATGGGGATCGGGACTAACATTTCAATTCTCCCGGTATCGTTCAAATTTTAAATTTTCGATTCCAAGTTTCGATGCCAGAGTCCGTCGACCGGAAGAAATAGCCACCGAACACCAACGAGGACGGAGCGTATGAGACGAAGCCACAGAGAGAGAGAGATAGAAGAGAGACAGAGAGTAAGAGAGAGAGAGAGAGAGAGAGAGAGAGTGCATTACAACCCACAGCAATGCAGTCGCTGTGGTCAGAAGTTTGGCTAACTTTAGCAGGAGGAATGAACTCTTATCTCAGTGCAACATTAGCAATACAGTTATATCATGCAAAGGAGGGTAAACGGCCAACATGATTAAACACCTCAGGATTCATGGGGGAGAAATACCCAAATGCCTGTCTTTGACGCGCTTCGCCAGTGTTGTGTCGTAGAATGCACCCCTGTCGTAGAATGCCCCCCTGACGGGAGCGTGGTTGAAAGCGCTTAACAAGGCGAAATAATCCAAGTTTTTCTTACTGTTAGACGGAACTAAAGCGGTTGCCTTTAATGATTTCATTCAGGCTATTCAGATATGCCGAAAACAATAGTCCTCTGATTCTGAATATTTGCTACCCCAAAAATATAATGTTCTCTACCTTGACAGCTTATTGTACAGATATATACTTAAGTACACCTCTATGTGTGCATTTTTGAGACACATAAAAACAAAACGAAAGTTTGCTGCTCCATTTGACATGTTGTCATGATCTAATATCCGTGTTTTTTTTATTATGAGATCATTTTCTTCCACTTTAAGAAGTTAATGAGTGGAGGTTGTGCATTCTACAGCACAACACCGGTGTTCCGCAAACCAGCCAGAATTAGATCATTGAAACAATAAATAACTTCTGTCTTCTGCTTACTTTGAAGTGGCAAACAAATTGTACTGTGTATGGTGGGTCAGCTGAAATATCCAACTAACGTTAGGCCTTGTACTTTTTCATAGACAAACGACCTGACAACAAAAAATGATTTTTATATACTGGTTGAAAATGTGAGAAATTCATAGTAAAGTTCTTAAAAAGTTAATATAATTTAAAGATTCATGGAGAAGTTCATAAATTTCATCCAAAAAGAAGAACTACGGTTAACACCCTTATTTAAACCATGCGTTTGTTTGTTTTTTTATATCCTGCCTTTTGAAAGAATCGAAAGAAAGAATCGTTAGGAATCGGAATCGAAACGAGGAATCGGAATTGGAATCATTCAAAATCAAATGAATCCTCCTAAGTAACAGTTCAGATTGATTTCACATTTTCACTGCGGCTCTGCAGGTCCACTAACACACTCACATGTACGTACTGGACACCATGCTCCTTTGTTTTTTTTTCCCCTGTACAGAAACTCATTCAGCTTTTCCCTAATGATGGACAATTAATCAAACTTCAACTTCAATTATGACTGAGACCCCTGATGGTGAAAATCTGATCAAATAGACAGAACATGGGGTGTAAATCATTTGCTGCCCACTGAATTTAGTTTTGATCAACATTTAGCAAAGCTTCCTGACATTTGTGGAGATGGACTGAATACTTTGCAGCTGCTGAACTAAATGTACAAAAAAATCGGAGAACTACTTCAGGTTTCATCATTTTAAAATGTTTTTCTACATTTGACAAGGGAAACAGACTGATTTATTTTAAAACCCTGAAAAGTGTAAAATAGTGGTCAACTGTCTGGCCGGGGTAAGAATGGAGGACTGCCATTTGGATTGTGACCCCTCCCCCCACCGTCGCGTCACCTCTTGGTAATCAGATAAAGCTGTCACCTGCTCTTCTGTCTGGGGTCAAATGATCCAAAGGTACTTTGTGTCATTATTATGATAGTTGGTTAGGAGGGGTTACATTAGCTTAGCACAACCCTGTTAAAAGAGTCTTGACCACACAGGTAATACAACTCACCTGTGTGTGAGACATGTAGGTGAGACGTCAGTCAGAGGGTAATAACAGGGCTGTCAGTGGACTCTGAATTTATCCTACAGGTTAAAGATCATTCAGACTCTCTAACGGGGCGTTATCAGAGATAGCAGAAGTATGAGTCATAAGCAGTATACATGATAACTGTGTGTGTCTGTGTGTGTGTGTTTAGTAATTTAAAATGGAGAAGTGCAGCTTTTTATCTGCAGTGTGACATGAACTTCAGCCTCCAAAGTTTATCTCCAGTAATCAACAAACACTGACCTTCCCCTTCAAATACACAAATACACACACACACACTTCCCCTGTTCTTACTCAACTTGAATCCACGTCACATCAGTCAGACTTCTGTTAAACACTATATTCATAGCATCAAACTTTAACACTACCAAAACATTAAAAACAGAGACTCCTGTGTTTTTTTGTGTGACTTCTTCAATCCTGAAGTTCACACGTCTAAATAGCAGCCCATAACTGTCTCCATCATGTTTTTTTTAAAGCTGAGGGAAGATCGATCAAAGAGGAGGGGTAAAAGCCAACTTAACTCACAACAAAGGTTGAAAGATAGAGGTCTTCTGGTACCAGTTGAGAATGCCTGAGCTTTCCCTTCTGATTAATCAATAAATACATTTTTAATACAAGAAAAAAAAACACACTTATTTTTGAGTTTCACTGCTTGGTTCAGGAGCTGAAACTGTACCACGGTTGCTTAAGAACCTGTTTTTGGATTTCCGTTAGACAACTTAAAGTCCTGCTGAAAAAATTAGCTCCAAGTTTGAAGAGGCAGAGGACTAGACACTAGACACTAGTGTTGAGATGGCTTTCTGTCATGATAGCATGTACTGAGTCGGGGCCAGTACCAGATAAGCACATGAAACTATGGTAACAACCGTTAGCTTGTGTTAGCACAGATGAAAGTTAAAACAAAGACGTTTAGCAAACTGTTAAAGCACACAAACCACAAGTTGTCCTTCAGGTCGTTATCTTTGTAATATTTGTGTTTTTTATCAAAAAGTACTCGGTTCTCGGGACACGAAAACAATCAGCTGGTTGGATATACCAGTGAATCAGACGTCGCAACAACACACAATCTGATTGGTCAGAAGTGGACACACAGTCTGCAAAACTTTAGAAAAATCAACCATGATCCGAAAAAATAAATGCTGCAATATCGCAGGAGGGGAAAACGTTGCTGATTTGAACACTTGTATTGACAGGATACGGGTTCGAAAAATAAATATTGACGTCTGAAATAATCGCAAGACAAAAACAGATGGTGTGAAAGGAACATGCTGGAACATGTACCACACACAATTGTCCTCATTTATCGATCTTGTGTAGAACTCAGCGCAGATCTGAGCGCAGGATTCACCTATGATAGGACACACATGAGATTTATAAAAGGGTTCGTATCCGACCAAACCCAGCGTATGTATGATGGGGTCTTGATAAATGCGGCGGCTGAAATCAATCATCATTAACATGTCACGCCTGTAAATATTGGTTCAGAAGCCTCGCCCACTGAGGTCAAACATGAAAGAGAAATATCAGAAAGATTAGAAACTTTTCCGAGCTGAAAGTGGATATCCTCGCGTCTTTGGTGGAAACTAATAAGGATTTTCTCTTTGGAAGCATCAAAACTGGTCTAAAAGCAGTACAGAAAACTCCTGTCTGGAGCAGGATTATGGTGGCGCTGAAGGTATTTTAAACAGAGTAACATGTGAGACACTTCAGCAGATTAAAAACACACACCTGCCAGTCCATTGACTCCAATGAGTCCTGCAGAGCTTGCGATGCTGACCAGGTGACCATGATTGTTAGCAACCATGGCGGGGAGGAAGGCTTTGTACGTCTGAAAGGGACAAACAAAAGACAAAAATGAGAGATGCTCACAGAGGTCAGAGGTCATCTGAAAATCACTCAGAATTAACATTTTATTAACATGAAGCTTCAATGTTCTGAATGATGTCGGGCAGGAAAAATACGGTCATGGCTTATTAAAGGTCTGAATGTGAGCGTTGATTGTGAACTTCCGTTTCTAAGGTCATTTGAAATGAAGCTGAAAAGTCCTGAAAAACTAAAAAGGACCCTGAGCTGTTAAACAACCAAAGTCAAGACCTCCAGTTTTGTTAAGAAACTTTTCGCGTAATAAAGGTTATTCAGTGGATAAAACAGTTGATGGAGAGCAGGACATTTAACACAGAAATAATGAGAAACTGTTGAAGAGGAGAGACTGAAGAGAGACGAGGAGAGAAAATGTTCAATCAAATAAACATGTTCATTTAAATATAAAAATAAAAAATGTATTTCTTCTTTGGGTTTCTGACTCTTGGTCAAGAAAAACAAAAAACAAACTATTTCAAAAACAATCATTTCTTGCATATTTTCTTCAAATTTAGTGAAATCGTAAGGGTTGAATAAAAATGACTCCAAAGTCACACGTGTTTTCAGATGAGTTTCCAATAGACCTCATTCTCCTCTTTTTTTACTGGATTTGATATGTGACTCACCCAGAAGTGAGCCATGGTGTTGACCTCCATTGTCTTCTCGATCAGAGAGTCCGGGGCGTCCATGAACTTCTTTCCTGTCACGATGCCGGCGTTGTTCACCAGGATGGTGACGTCACCCACCTCTCTCTTCACCTGTTGGGGGTAAAAAAATAGATGTGTGTCATGTACTGAGAAATCTCATCATGTAGCAGCTAAAGATCCACTCCGATGAAAATCTGGCATTATTTTTATGCTAGACGACATATCATGAGAAAACTAAGCGCAAAATTGCATTTTGAAGTATTTCTTTATTCAAATCGCTGTGAATCTCTGGCAGACCCAAAAGGTAGGCTCAGACACAGTGAGATTTCATACATTACAAATCCAAGCTCTGCCCCCGGAGCCCCGCTGTGCAGGCCAGACTTGGAGGAGTAGAGAAGACAATCACGGAACAAGCATGTGCAGTAGCGCACTTCAATGCTTGTAAGAAAGCTAATTATGACATTAACTTTCATCATGTCCCCAACGACTAAGTGTCTGAGAGCTGAATAGTAGGGCCCGACTGATTTATCGGCGAGCCGATTAAATTGGCCAATTTTAGCCCATTTGAGACTAATTGGTAATTGGCCAAAAATCACAGACTTTCGCCGATATTTTCAGAAATAAAATGCGGAGAATAAGATTTGGTTTCACTTTGAAAATGTTCCGCCATTTGAAAAGTTTCCCAACTTATCCTGTAGATAATGATCATGAGGTCACTGCACCCCATGGTGCAGCGACCTCATGATCAGGCAGCGCTTTCCCCACATACTGAATTTCCCTTCACGGATAAATAAATATATTAAGTTATTCTTATCTCTGCAGATATTCATATTCCTGCAAAAAAGGTTCAGTCAGAATTAATGTTATGTGACAGAACTTCTTCACTTTTTTTAAAGCATAACTTTAGACTACATAGACTGGGGGTCTTCTGCCTCTTCGCTGGGTGAAGCCTCCATGAAAATAGCACCCCCTGATGACTGGTTGCAGTACTCCTCCTACAACAAAACAGAGCAAGCTGCAGGCAAACCTCAAAAATTAAATTCATCTCATACAAACTTTCCCCCTCGATTTTTCTCTGATATTGAACTGGCAAAAAGAGTTTTTCAGCAGTAAAGTAATCCAACTGACATGCACGGCTTAGAGAATATTTGCTGTTTTATGCAAATCTGCGTGTTTGTTGATCTGTGTGATAATTAACTAGCTTTTTGGATAACCTCACAGCAGTCTAAAGGTCCTTACACACCGGGGCCGATGCGAATACAGAACGCGAAAGTACGAAATATCCAATGCGATTTTGTGACTTTCCAGGGGAAAAAGACGAATCCCAGGGAAGAATTTTGCCGGGGAAAGTCCTGCCTCCTTCGCCTCTGATTGGCTAGAAAAGCTGGAAATGTCATCACGTGCTCAAGCCAAATGGTCAGCACTTATTTTTGTGTGTTCTGGATCACAGTATCCGGGATTTTGTCTGGATCAGGATGAACCTTTGACACCTCATAAAACTCATTGAGATCCTTTTGTGTAATTTTTTACTACAGACTCAAAAACATAACCTCCTTTGCGGAGGAAACAAGACCCTACCCAAACAGTACGCCTTAATTATTCTGAATTACAGAAGAGGACTAACAGAGCTGTGTTTCCTGTGGAAATTGCTGATATTTTTGGTAAAGAAGAAGAAGAACTTTATTAATCACTGAAGGGAAATTCAATAAATAAATTCAATAATAAAGTCAGTTGTTCACTGTACTGTTAGTCACTGTAGGATTGGTTTTAAGAGTGGGGGTGGGGTGGGAACTTAAGCAGTTATAACTAACTCAAGAACATCTGTTATTTAAATTACTGACTTTTCCTTTCTTCCATTAATTTATGTTCTCTGACTGACATGCTGATGGTTACTGTGTATTTAGTGTCATTGTTGTTGTTTATTTAGTCTAATTGTTGTGTACTTAGTGTCACTGTTGTTGTTTATTTAGACTAACTGTTGTGTATTTAGTGTTACTGTTGTGTATCTAGTGTTGCTGAATTATTTGCATCAAAAAGGCAGAATTCCTGAGCGCTTTGTCTCTGACTCATGTCTCTACAATCTGCTTTTCTGTAAGCCTCAGGCAGAAAACCTCCTCCTCCTTCTCCTCCTCCTTCAATTAGGGATGCACCGAGCCGCCTTTTTCACCTCCGATACTGATACAGATATCTACAGTTAAAGGTGGGGTAGGCAGGATCTGAGGAAGTTCCCGTTTTTGGGAGAATGTAAACACTACCCCTCCCAACCAGTTTTCCCCTCAGCTCCTCCTCTCCCCTCCCTCTCTGCTCCAGCAAGCCCCGCCCACAAACAGACTCTCCTGCTTGCTCATATCGTTTCAATTAAATTCAGATAAAATGCAGATAAATACTTCAGATAATTACAAATGTGGCCCAGTCGACGTGAAAGTAAAAAGCATTGGTGCTACTGTAGATGCCAACATGGTAACCGCAAACACAATGTTTGCAGGACTTCTACAACTAGGATAAAGTGACATAGTCCAGGACCCGGGGTAAACAGTTTTGCAGTGTAACAACACCCAGCAGGTCCCGTTTGACAAGAAACACCTCTGTTACAGACACTTGGCTTACTTTGACTCTATTCCACCAGAGTCTCCGGTAGGCCTGTCACGATAACAAATTTTGCTGGACGATAATTGTGCTACAAATTATTGCCGATAAACGATATTATTGACACCGTTTTTTAAATTATAGATAATGATATTAAATGGCATAATAATGCGAGTACACCGTGTCAAAAGTGATAAACTTTAATTTCACCCACGACGAAGACGTAACGTTGACGAGCTAAACGTAAGTCGGAGATGACTAAAATGTGACGAGACGAAAGTGCGTTTACGTTGATGGGACGAGACGAAAATAACGAACAGAGTTGCAAAACTCAGTCAGTTAAACGCTAAACATATAGGAGCAGCTTCTGTCCGCTCTGACAGCTCTCATCAGCCTGCTGTGCTCCTCCAACACACAGACACACACGCGCGCACACACGTGGAGTTTTGTGGTTGACGAAAACAAAACTGGTTTAAAGCCGAAATATTCCCACACTTGGGCTGTTGCGTTCGGTTTAGACACCAAAGCTGTCGTGTTCATTCTGTTTGCTTGCTTTTCACTCACGACGCTCACTTGCAGCACTGTATCCAAAGGTCTGTGTCTGTGTCTGTGTGCCTGTGCGCGCCAGCCCCCTCGTGACAAAGACACTGAATGACTGACAGGAGGGTTCACTAACTCCGTTCATTCCGCTATAGAGCCAACGCCCCCAGTTGCCGAGAACAATGCGCAGAGTGAGACCTCTTCTCTCATCCAGCGTGTTTGGTAGCGAGAGAGAAGGAAAACAAACGCACGTCAATTATCGAGGCTGGCAAAATGACCGACCTCGTTTTTATTTACCGAGCGATAAGGCGATTTATTGATTATCGCGACAGGCCTAGTCTCCGGTATTTACTTTGTTTTCTGGCTTGTCGTGGCCAAAGGAGGATTTACAAAAAAATTCTGTACTTTCTGGTTGGTTTCTACTGTCCCATGTTGTAGCACACCAACTTTGTTTGGGCTTGTGAACATTATTCGAGGACCTGGAGCGTGCCTCACAACATTGGGGAGCAGCGTTTGCCTCACAACCAATCAGGTTGGGGAAGTGGAGAATGGCTTTGTTTACAGTCAGAAAGAATGGGCCGCTTAAAAAATGTAAATTATATATATATAAATTATTATATTGACTACACAGGCATAAGAGAACACAGCAATGTTGTTATATTACCAAATGTCATCAATAACTTATAGCTATTGACTGATATTAAAAGCTTTTTTGTATACACATCACAAAAAAGTCGCTTCCTAAATGGAGTCCTGCCTACCCCAGCTTTAAGTATCGGCCGATACGATCCAATTCCGATACAGAAAAGCCGCGCTGAATTACCTTTTGTTGTAACCTGAAGTTCTGCCACTGCTTCTCAGAACGATTACTGCGCAGGTATTCCAAGTGGCCGTTGAGCTTTTAGGCTGAGGTATTGTGATAAAGTTCAAGATAGCAGACCCCTTTGCTCGCTCCATTTTGAAAACAATGTGGCCATCCACTCAGCATGTTTACTTCTGGATGCCATTCATGGCACATATCACAGAGTAAGACTGAATAGATCGGCCCCTATGCATCGGGCCCATTGTTACGATACCTGATCTAGAATTTTCTTCAGTATCGGGACCAATACCAATATCAAATATTGATTAGTTGTGCGCATTCGGCGGGAGAGTCGTGGAGAGTCGCTGTGATGACGCTCGGCTCAAACAGCATATCCCCTGGGTGAGCTACGCAAACCCTTAACGCTCATAGGCTGTATCAGGTGTCAATCATAGCAAACATGAACCCCCTAATAACTTTTAAAAACGGAGCTTCACAGAAAAAAGAGGACTTGAGCACAAACCAGTCTTACTGTAACTTCATGTCAACATCACAAGCAGGGGGGAGAAAAATGTATGTTCTGTGTAATAAATTTCTAAAGTTTGTCAACAGCTCCATAAGCTTTGCTGGCGGAGGCGGGATTTATGACCAATACTGCAGCCCATCAACAGAGAGTGCTGTTCTCGGAGTGGCTTCACCCAGAGAGGAGGCAGACACTGTGTAATCTATATACAGTCTATGTCTGCAACACACTGAGCAACAGGTTCAAACTATCGGGCAACAAGAGACGCCAAACAATTGTGAATGTGTGCTAATAAGCTACTGAGCTTCTGGGCTAGAAAGTAGGTGAAATGTCCAGAGTCATAATAAAGTATACTCAACTTTTAAGATTATAAAGGATGTTTAATAAAAGCTTGAAAAGACAGTGATTTGTTTGATTAAAAATTTAAGTTTTTAAACGTTGAAATCATCCAGTTAGACAGTCAGACTTCCTTGGAAATCAAAAAGGTGAGCTCCAGAGTTTATTTCAACTAACTCTGTTTTTTTCAAATGATGGGTGTTTCAGTTTAAACAAGTTTAAAGGTGCTTAGATGTGTGACATGGACAGTCATTTTTCATAATTCTGATCAATCCAAATAATCGTGATAATGGGTTTTGCAGCCCTGGTATGTGTCTGTAGTTTTTTTTTTTTTTTTTAGATATAGAAAACCGAATTTAACATTAAAGTTATACATAAGATGGGAGTTGGTTAATCATAGCAGTCTGATAATAGCAGACTGTGACACACATAAACGCAGAACACACTCCAGTTTGTTGGACTGGAACTAACAATACCAAGTATTGGTATATCATACTGCTCACATAGTCTGGGGCCATACTCTGCTATTTTGACCTCCTTTACATCTTCACTGTGTCTGAGAAAACTTTCATATATTCAGCCCATTATAAATCACCAGCACAGACTATAACAACAAAGATCATAAATGACTGAAAATCAAACAACATAAGTATATATAATCACAAAAAGTCATTTCCATGTATCTAATATCCATGTTTAAATATAACAACGCACTCTATTAGAGAGGGAGCTGTAATCAATATTCATTTTTGAGTTGTTACGCCTTTTGACTTTTAAATGACAAACTTTTAAATGACTTTAAAAAGCTCTGATAGTTGACAGTAATCCCAAAAAGGAGCATAATAACCTTGTCAGGCAAAGTCAGCGTTTTAATCTTTAGATGTGTGAAGAAAGAAGAATGAGCTGCTGCTGTTAAAGCTCAGACCATGTGGTGGAGAACACTTATCTCTGTTTACTGAACACACACCCTCCTCCCTGCCCCAGAGGCACACACACACACACACACACACACACACACACACACACACACACACACACACACACACACACACACACACACACACACACACACACACACACACACGGACACGCCCTTATTAACATAAAGGTGGCAGAGAACTTTGCTTCCCAACACACACCTACACATGCACACTCAGTTTTAACCCATGTTTCACTGTACGACCACAGTGGAGTGTACTATGGTGGTATAAAATAACATCACTGCTCCACAAGAATTCAGCAGTGAGATCAAATGTCACTTCATGTCATCAAGAAAAAAAAAATATGTGGTGAGTAAAGTTGCAAGTTTGAGGATTTAACATTAAGTTTATGAGAACGACATTGCAGGAATGAGGTATTTCCAAAATTAAGTTGTAGGGCCCTAACCATATGGATTTTTTGGGGCCGATACCGATTATTGGGGAGGAGGGAGGGGGGTCCAATTACCGATTGATCGCCGATTTTTAAATTTTTTTTATGAAGTTTTAAAATTTTGTTAATTTAAGTAATATATCTACATATTTACTTTCATTTTAACAAATGGCTGCTTTTGAGCCTTTCAAACACAAGGCAGAAAACTAATTTCAAATCCTTTTTATTGCTAAAACAACTGAAAAACAATGAGCTATTTTGTGTAAAGTGCAAAGAGTTAAGTTAACTTCCAACTCTCTAGCTCAAGGTGAAGTGGTCCCACACCTTGCTACGCTTGCTTTCTTTTGACATCTGTCAAAACAACAAGCAAGTATACATGAAATATGCATTGTTTAAAAGAATCTGTCTAGTTTTATATGGGCCACTTTCAAACTCATAGCCTACATTCAGCATTTTTCTTAGTTGTGTTTACATGATATGACTTACACTGAACGCCTGGCTATTTATTTTAGCTGTAATAAAAGATGATAAACTAATTATTTTCAGCTTATTATTCAGACTGTAGTGGGTGTGAGACGGATTATTTTGTCAACCTCCGTCTTGTCAAACTCACACACTTGTCACTCTCTAAAATAAATGGCCTATAGAAATAAATAAAAATAAAGCTAACTCATCATAATAAATGAGGAACTGAGAGCCGTCACTCTGCTGTGCTGTGAGGTAGTTAGTGGACGAAGATTGTCATGAGGTTGCTGCACCAGCTACAGGATACGTCAGGAAATCTTTTCAAATGGCGGAACATTTTCGAAGTGAAATCGAATCTTATTCTCAGCATTTTATTTCTGAAAATATCAGCGACAATTGGCGAGTTTTGGCCGATTACCGATTAGTCTCAAACGGGCGAAAATTGGCCGATTTAATCGGCCTGCTGATAAATCAGTCGGGCCCTATTAAGTTGTGATATTTTCAGAATAAAATTTAAAAATACATATATTATTATGAGAATAAAGTTATTATGATTAAAGAGGACCACAATATTTGAAAACTGAAGAGCCCAGTTTGTGAACATTTAATCACATGTTTATGAGAAGAGAGATCATAAAGTTAGTAGAATTAAGTTGTAAATGAGTATAAAAATATCTGTAGATGAAAGGATCCTTTCATCTAAGGATTTAGGTGATTTTACCAGAGGTGGCCATCATTATCAAGCGATGATTTAGAACAAAAACTAATTTTCTTCAAATAATGACTTGGCCATTATTTTAATAGGGTGACCACGTGTGAAATAACACATTGTTTCATCACTGTCATCTAAAGCAGTGAAAATTTTCTTCTCAAAAAAATTTCAGCCCCTTCATTCATGTCTAAATTAGTTTTTGATGTGTGTTTATTTTTGTCATTTTAAACTGCCTTGTAAATCTCACTTTTATATTAACAACTTAATTCTTATAAACAACTTTATTTTCTTACAACATCAATCTCTTTAATCTTCACACTCATTTCTATATTTTTTTTCTCCGACTGTATAGCTTTTCTCAGCTTCTAAGATTTGATCATATCATAAATCTTCGTCATATATGTTATTATCGATTTTATCACAACATTTATTTTTATTTATTCAGACAGCTTTATTAATTATGTCCGTCTTTTTGGTATTTTTTTCTTGTAGATTTACAGCTTTCCTCTCTTTCACTCTATTATCATATAATGACAACATTACTCTCATAACATTACAAGATGTGCAGTGAAATACAAAATGCTGAGGGTCAAACATTAATATCCATCAGTCAGTATATCAATATACTTGGATGTACCATCCAAGTCCAGGTGAACAGGTGACTGGCTGAGATCAGCAAACCGCTCCTCAGGCAGAGTCACTAACACTGATTTAATCAGCCCTTTTTACCTGCTTTAATGAGTGTTTCTCTGACCACAGGCAGTCTGATGTGTGGCTGTAAATCTACAGGGCTGACTAAAAGATTATGATTTATTAATGAATCAAACAAACTGAGAGCTGGAGGACAACTTCAAGTCAATAAACTCTCATTAAATATTCAAGGTTCCGTTCGAGACGTCCATCCTCACAGAGAGAAACAGACACCAGAACAGATCCACCTCCTCAGTCTTTGGCATTTGAAATGATGAGATACATGATTAAAACTGTGTTTACTTTGTTTTTAATGAAAGTGCACCATCAACACCAGCTTCATCAAAGTCTGCTGTTTACTCACTTTTATTGTTTTGAAAGTATTTGATTTATGATAATATTGTTCCAGTAAATAACAAAACTCATCACTGGAGTCCACATTGAGTCAATCTGCTGATCCCCTCTGAGAATCAGCTTGTTGTTTATTCATAATTTAATGTTGTTTCTTTCTTCTTTTCCCTCCTTGATTCCTTAACTGCAGCTCTGATTTGTTTTAAATTAAACAACAAGATCATAAGCTAAGCAAGAAATCTCTGTCACATTCAGTTCTCTCAGTTTGAGTCTTCACGTACCTGTACAACTCTTTAGTTTTCATCATTGGCTATGTTCACACTGCCACATCTGATTTTTTCATCAAAGTGTGAACAGTGTCGCTGTTGACGATCGGTGCCCTCAAAAACCGGCAACACAACAAATCTGTTCCACCATTTGAAGAAGGACGTCCCAAGTGATTATGTGGAAAGCATGAAAATGTGAGCAGAGTCTAGACAGCCTGTTACTGCTGACGACATGAGTAGCATTAGCAGTTAATAAAATGTTGAACTAATCTCTAGTTTATTTTTTAGTACAGATGCTTTAAAACTGGCAGTTAAAAAAAAAGTGATAATAATCGAGATTGAACGATATGACAAAATATATTGTGATCATTTTTTTTGCCAAGGCCTAGTTGAGCCTTCATCTGCATTTCTGCCAGGAGTAGCGCTCATGTTCTTTTTTTTCTCACCAACAGTGCTGTCGGCTTCACGTGTTAAAGTGCTATGGTTGCGTGTAGCTGCAGTCTGCTACTATGCAGTTGTTTGCTACTTGGTTCTAATTCTGCACACGGTTGGTTCAGCGCAAAGCGGACCCGGAGCAACTCCCCTTTTCATTGGCTATTCGTATAGTCTACCAAAACATGTCAGAATGCAGACTATTGAAAAGCATATTGACCATGTTTTTATATTGATATTGAGGGAAATTAATTTTCGATATATATTGTCGTTTTATCGCCCAGCCCTACCTCAACCACATCAAAGCAGCAGCTGCAACAACAACAACAACAACAACAACAACAACAACAACAACAACAAACAACAACCTCTGCAGTTTGTGATGATCCTGCAAAAACCTGCAGCTTATCCCACGCTGCTGCTAGTCATTCAGTTTTGTGGTATCAGCTGTGAACTCACCTGGTCAGCCACACGGTACACCTCGGTCTTGTCGCTGCAGTCACACGTGTAATAATGGACTCTGCTGGCTCCGCCCTCTTTGGCCAGACGGGCTGTCTCCTTCATGCCATCCTGGTTGATGTCCCACAGCACCAGCACTGTCCCCAACGCCGCAAACTCCTGAGCCATGAGGCGTCCAATCCCGCTGCCTGCCCCTGTGATCAGCACCACCTCCCCTGCCACATTCTTCTTCTTCATGGGCAAAAAGAAGTAGATGAAGGATTCGATGTTAAACCAGAGGGACAGCAGGAGGACTTGGAGGGTTTCCAGGATGAAGTTCATGATGGATCTGAAAGAGAGGATGAGGATAAACCACTGACTATAAAACACAGCTTTCCTCAAATTAACAGCATTGATATCAGATTAAAGGTAGATTGCCCTCTCCAGGTCGGAGGGGCGGTCCTGCCTCAAGTGGAGGAGTTCAATTATCTTGGGATCTTGTTCACGAGTGAGGATAGAATGGAACAGGAAATTGACAGGCAGATCGGAGCGGCGTCAACAGTAATGTGGACGCTCAACTGATTCGTCGTGGTGAAGAAAGAGCTGAGCTGTAAGGCAAAACTCTCAATTTACCAGTCGATCTACGTGCCGATCCTCATCTATGGCCATGGACTTTGGGTAATGACTGAAAGAACAAGATCGAGGATACAAGCGGCTGAAATGAGTTTCCTTCGCAGGGTGGCCGGGCTCAGCCTTAGAGATAGGGTAAGAAGCTCGGACACTCGGGAGGCACTCAGAGTAGAACTGCTGCTCCTCCACGTTGAGAGGAGTCAGCTGAGGTGGCTCGGGCATCTGGTTAGGAAGCCTTCTGGACGCCTCCCGTTAGAGGTGTTCCGGACATGTCCCACTGGGAGGAGACCTCGTGGCCGGCCCAGGACCAGGTGGAGGGATTATATCTCTTGCCTGGCCTGGGAGCGGCTGGGAATCCCCCCCGGAGGAGCTGGTGGAAGTAGCTGGGGTGAGGGCCATCTGGGCTTCCCTCCTGAAGCTGCTGCCCCCGCGACCCAGACGAAGCGGAAGAAAACGACGATGATATCAGATTACTCAGGACACTGTGAGTATCTCCACTCTCTCTGCTGTAACTCACTCTGCAGTTACAGCCAAGTGTCTGCTGCACTTTAAGTTTTTTTTTCTGCATTTAAATTTAAACGCACTGTATCCTGATTCTTGTTTCCTCAGCAGTAGTCTCTCAGGATCTCCCCTGAACCACATTAGCTGACTCTGAGGTGGGTCCCTGTGTATTGTGTGTCTGTAGTGGGTTCAGGATTATCAGGATCATGATGCATTCATTAACCCAGATTTTTCTCTTTGCTTTGGCTATCGGTCTGGACAGAGGTCGTTTGAACTGGTTTTGGACTAAAACACTTTCCAAATTGGGACTTCTGCAAAGTCCATTTAGTCATTAACATGGACATACTCGTCAAATAATTCTCATATGTATTAAGCAAGCATAAAAACAGCAGGCTAATGGATTGTCTACATCTTCTCAGTAGTTTAGCATGTTGAAAGGAAAGCTCCCAGTTCTTCATCATCAAACTGCAGGGCAGGGGTGAATAAATCTGACACTTGTTAGTTTTAATCCAATGCTCAACTAAATCTTGAAAAACACATAGATGTGCTCCTCATTCAAGAAGATGCTCACCATGTTACTTCTGTAAGTCTGAATATACTGCAAATGATCGCCACCAACAGGTCTGGCATGCTTATGGAAGGGCTTTACGCTGTTTCTGTGTGAATATCTCTCTATCCACATGATCACACCTGTAGCAATCCACCTGTAGCAACAGAGGGCGGGGTGGAGGCTGCTGCCTCAGGACAAACCTGTCTCTGTTTTCACTCTGTGAATTTGTTTAAGGGAAAAAAACTCAACGAATGAAGGATCGGACTTATGAACACAGGAGCTACTTGACCTTACAGACCACCATCACTTACTGAGCAAGGGAGCTTTTTCAACCAGGAGTCTGACCACTTGAGAACATCGAACTTTAAGCCGAAACACTGATAACAAAGTCATCCTTTCACATGTCAATAGTTTAGAAAAAGAGAGAGAGGGGATAACAGGAGTTAAAATTACCTTGGCTTCAGTTAAAACACAATTTAGAGAATAGATTAATTATTCTCTTTTAACTTTAACTTTGAAATGGAAGTTTGCAAATAAAGACATATGAAAGTCTCATTTACAGGACTGGGTGTAGATTCTATTTGCAGGATAAAGACTGTTCATATTTTTCCAAACAAAGTTGAACTATGTGACAAAGCACAGGTGTGAATAAGTGGTGAAAAGAAGTTTGAGCATAAGAAACACGTGAAAACACATAATGTTCATTAAAACACGTTAATGTGTGTTTGTAGCCACAGTTCTGACACCGTTCAGAAACTCATCCAAAACTTCACGTTACATAAGAGTCACATCTAACGGTATATTTCAACTCAACCCCCTAAATAAGTAAAGCAGAGAACAGGAAACTACTGAATAACGGACTCGGTTTGGTATTTCCCCCATTTTCAAGTGAAATATGTTCAAACTTACCGAGTAAAGAGTCAGCAAAGCCAGGAGCTGCGCGAGTCTAACAGCGGCTCTATATGTCAGCTCTGACCGAGACCTTTGCTCTGTGCCCGGGCTAACGTTACGACACAGCCCGCTACACTGTTATCACCGACCCTGATAAAAAAACTACTGCAGATAATGAGTGATACTGAAGGCTCCAGGAGCCGTTACCGTACCGTGCTGCGAGTTTATCCGGAGAAAAGACTCTGTTTCCCGGAGTGGGCTCGGTCTCCGTCCGGCAGAGTTCGTGTAGCCTCGGGTGAAGAAAAGAAGCAGGATGTCACTTCAAACACAAATTCCGAACTGCTCAACTGCGTCATGTGACGGAAATCAACCAATCACAGCCCTGCAAGGCTACTCTGCACCGTCAAGCATTGTGGGATATGTAGTAGTACAGCTTCGTTACGGAAAATGATTAGGACCACTAGAAATAACAAGTTCTGCGTTTTCATTCTACCATTAGGGGTACATTTCAGGTCGACCAAAAACTCAAAATATCAGTATCCTTTTTTAAAAAATAAACTAGATGTTTGTATGATATACACTCTTAATGTGCTAAATCAATTAATTGGCAAACTTAAACTCAAATGACTTTTAAATTATTTTAATGAAAATGAACATTTGAGTTATCATTTTGTCAACTGTGTTATGGACAAATGTTGTGTCCCATAAAACATATATAAAATACTAAAGATTTAATAAGACATTTCTTTGAAAGTGTTTGAGTCTATACACCTGGGGTTTTGAGTTTATCTGCCCAACTGATTTAAAAATGTGAATTTTGAGCTTCATAATGGTGATGTAACGGGATACTATGATGTAGATTGCAACCTTTTTCAACATAAACTCACATTACAATGAATTTAGAGTTATTCACCATTCTTATGTAAGACTTCTTGAGATATCCCCCATCTTTTTTGTAACAGTATATCTTTGTGTATCTTTTGTTCTTTTTGATTTTGGACAGTTCACAGTTCTGAGATCTTAGCCCATATGTCCCTATCAATCTCCACATGACATGCGGTCACAGAGGCTAGAGGAGGAATCATTCCTGCATTGGGCCTTTCTCCAGTATGCTTGTTTCCTTCTCTTCCTCACTTAAATCGTTCACTGTCTTCACCTTCCCTTGCTTTCTGTTATCATGCCACTTCTCTCTGCGTTTCTGTAAATATGCAGCCCTTCTATCAGGATCAGCATCACGCCGAGCCCTGTACTGGTGCTGCCTCTCAGCAGCAGATAAACCCATCTTCCTAAAACACAAATCATTATGTTTGTCTCTAAATATGAACATAAAATGTGGCAGTAAACTTCGAACACTGTCAACTGTATTACAGCTGATGAGTAACACAGTTGACATTTCAGCCATTTTAGGGCTTTTTCCTAGCTACAGACCTCAGAACTGTCACTGTAAGGCCTTAATCAACTCCTGTTTTTATATACTTTATCTACATTTTTGTAAATGAAACATTTAAAGCAAGTTCTCATGAATATGTTGACAACACAGTTGACAATCATTTTGCTCTATGTGTTCGCAGTGATATTGATAAAATATTGAAGAGGAGAAGGAAAGACTTACCACACTGTGTTTTAAATTTCCCTCCAAAAAGGATTTGACATCAAATGATGCTGAACGTGTTACTCAGGAGCAAACAATTGCTGACTTATGGGGAGGGGTTCACTGGGTAACACAGCTGACAAAAGTTTCTCAGACACACACAAAGTGGATGATTTAATGTGTATGAATGAGCAAAATTGATTTTTGAACAGCTTTCTCATATTTTAGTGATTACTTTGAACAAATATTTACAAAATTTTGTACAAAAATATTTAATTTAATGTTAATCTGAAGAGCTAAACCTGGTATTGAGAAAATCAAACAGCATAAAACCAACAAATTCTCGTATAACACATGCAGTTTTTGCAAAAAAGATGATATCTGTTAAACTTTTTGTATCAAATAAAACAGAAATGTGCCCTGATATAAAATTGATCATTGGTTGAAGTAAATATTTGGTCAAATTGAAAAACACAGTCCATGGACATGACATGTACCCCTAATTATAGAATGACTCGTAGACGCTCGGATTCATTCACAGGCAAAAGTATTTTAGATTCAAAGTTAATCATAAAGAAGGTAGATGATGAGAGTTAAAGCCAAACTCTACACAGAAAGTCAGACAATCAATCTAAGAGTAGAAACAAAGTTTTACAAGATACAATTGGGACAAAGTACCTAAAGCCATAAGCCAGGTGGTACCAAACTGTCAAACGTGTTTATGTACAACTCTTGCTTCCAATGGAAAATTGTGCCCCTATAGTGTAATGCAAAGCTTAAATAAGTTTTGACACATAAACTATAACCTAGTTTTGCAAGGTTGATCTTTATGTGTCAAATCATACAATCTCTGCTTTTTTTTTTTTTGCCTTTCTCCAGCTTGGCTGCATAAGAGATAGGATAAAAGGACCAAATGCAATGAGAGAGATAGGAGGGAAAGAGGAGGGAGGACCTGGGGATCCACTCTGCACCCTTATCTTCTCATCAAGGATGATCAAACTCAGCTTATGTGAAAAACGGATACCAACTCCTTTTTTTTTATGTTCTGAAAAAAATATGGAGAAATGAGTAACCTAGCAAAGATTATGGATTAGCATTGTAACAAATTTAGGAAAATTAGGAAACTCCCTATGAGTCATTACTCATAACTGACTGCTGTACAGCTAAATTCAATTATACCTGGTGCAATGACACTAAAAAGATTCTATTTTATGTTTCTTTATTCTATTATTCTAGGTCTAATTAATTGAATACAATATACAATTAATACTATAATATTCTGTTTATTTCTCTTCTGTTCCTTTTTTCTATGAAATTCTTTGATTTTTTATTTATTTAACATCACCTATCCTGGTCTACTTCTTTCTTTCTATTTTTTTTCTATCCTAACTATTAATGACAATCCTATTTACTCTATTCTAACTTTTTCTATACCATTTTATGTTTTTGTTTTTTTTTGTATTCTACTCAATTCTTTTACAGAAACACACCCTACAGTGAAGTGTGGCGCCGCAAGGTGGCAGCCTGTTACAGCAGCTCCCGAGTGTTTTATACTTTTATCTATCTATCTATCTATCTATCTATCTATCTATCTATCTATCTATCTATCTATCTATCTATCTATCTAAATTATGATCCCTACAATAATATTCTTTTTAATTCTATTGATTTCTATTATATCACATCAGTGCAAGTATTATAGTTCTATTCAATTCTGTCAGCGCCTATGAAATTTATTTCCAAATAAATCTAATTCAGTCCAATTCAATTTGATTTAATTCTATTGTTAAAAAATTGAATTGTAATTTTTTTTTTCTATTCACATCTTTTTTTATTTAATAGTTTCTATTCTATTCTATCAAATTACACCAAATTCTATTCTCTAATATAACAGTCTGGAAACAACAGATATCTGATTTTTTATTTTATATTTTTAATTCAAAATGTCTGGGCAATCAGTTTATCTCATATGACTTAGATTAATTGGTTATCATGACAGTTTGCTCTTTATTTTTTGATAAACTTCTGGATTATCTGACCTGTCATTGTAGTTCCAGGGTTTTTTTTTTGTCTTAGGCCCGGACTACACGTATATACATACAGTATTTATTTATCAGGATATTTTTGTACTCCCGTCTAAATAAATGTATATGTCCACACTTGTTAGTTCTCAAAAATATCTGCTTCCACACGTAGCCTTCAAACTCAATCCTATCTGGTGCCGCTTAAAAATAATTCAGAAACAAAGCTACCTGATTGGCCGATTAATCGTAACAGCGTGATGCGTCATGCATTGTTTGCAGAAGCTACGCTAGTGCGTCGGGTCCATGTGACGGTGTGGTGGCTAGAACAAAGCAGGTGCCTCTGTGAGCTGGCTGACTGGTGGATGTAATTGTATAAAACACGGTTCAATGGCAAGGCTGAAATTAGCCCCAAAAGGGCAAAACAAATGTAAAGAATACCCTGTATGTCCGCCATCGTTGTTGTTGTTTTTCTTTTTAATTCGCATGCATGAGCTGCGGTTTGACGTCATCGATCCGTAAAGGTTAAACTACACGAATCCACTTATACGGATATTTTTTAATTTCTCCACTTGTTTTTTCGGATTCAGATTTATCCGGTTTGAGTGTTCCAAACTCCAGTTTTGGTGTGGTAGGGAGGCCTAATCGGACATAAATATGTGCGGTTTGAAATATATCTGCATTTGTGTAGTTGGGGCCTTAGTGAGCTCCTGTCTCTCTGCAGGTCTCTGCTCAGCTCTGAATGACGTTTGGAGACTGAGTCCAGCTCTGACTGACATGTCCTCTGACTGCTGAAAGTTTAAATCAGTTAAACAAAGTTTATCACACTCACCTGATGAGTTGTGACTGAATATTTAATAAAAAAGCGATCCTGAGCCAGATCTTATCATCCCAGTCCTGATTTACTGATATGAACTCATATTCCGTTTAATGACGATAATTAATCTTTAGCTCCACCTGCACAGGCGCAGCTGATTGATTTATGAAACATGAGCAGATCTGTGTGTGTGCGTTAAAACATTTACTTTCCTTTAATAGTATATGCATAAGATATGTTGTTGTTCCTAACCTGATAAAATGTCAGACTGGTGAAGTTCTCTCTCTTTTTAGTTGACGTCTGGTTAATTCTTGTTTGTTTCTCATGAAGAAATGAATCTTAACTTTTGGTGCTCAGTATTTCATGACCAAACTCAGTAATTCCTGCAGATACTGACCCTGGTCTGTAACCATCTGCTTTCCTCTGATCTGTCTGGTTCATTTATCCTGAGAGTGTCTGATAATCAGCGTGAGCTTCAGATCTTACAGTACATTAACAAAACTGCAAAAGAAGTCATATTTGAAGCAGTAGCTCTTTATGATGTGTCCTGGGTTTCAGACTGCTAGGTCATCTAAGTCTGATTCCAACTTGGAAACTTGTTAAAATCTCAGGTGCGTGATAGTTCATCTTTGGTATCAAGGTGGTGGGAGGGCAACTTAACAGACTTCTGTTTCTTAAAGGTCCTTTCGCGTTTTTGTCGTGCGATTATTTTGGACGTCAATATTTTTTTTCAAACCCGTATCCTGTCAATACAAGCGTTCACATCAGTGACATTCTCTTGTCCTGTGGTATTGCGGCATTTATTTTTTCGGATCATGGTTAATTTTTCTAAAGTTTCGCATACTGTGTGTCCACTTCTGACCAATCAGATTGCGTGATGTTGCAACGACCGGCTGATTGTTTACGTGTTGGAGAACAGAGTGCTTTTTGATAAAAGACACAAACATTACAAAGATAACGACCTGAAGGACAACCTGTCCTTTAACAGTTTGCTAAACGTCTTTGTTTTAACTTTCGTCTCTGCTAACGTAAGCTAACGGTTGTTACCATAGTTTCATGTGCTTATCTTATCGCCTCTGATTGGCTATACTTGCTGACTGTTTGGCTTGAGCATGTGATGACATTTCCAGCTTTTCTAGCCAATCAGAGGTGTAGGAGGCAGGACTTTCCCCCAGAAAAGTCTTCCCCGGGATTTGTCTTTTTCCCCCGGAAAGTCGCAAAATCGCATCGGGCTTGATGTGATATTTCGTACTTTCGCGTTCTATATTCGTGTCGGCCCCAGTGTGTAAGGACCTTTAGACTTTGTTCACAGACAGTGTTGTTTCAAGCAATTTTGAGTTCATGCAGTGATTTCCACCACATAGTTGTGTCTGTTTTTAACCCTTTCATGCATGAATTATGATATATTGAGTTAAAAAATTCTTACTATGTGTTTTTATTCAATATAAGGCATATAAATAATATTGCAGTTGGAATTTTTTTTTTACCTGTTTCCGCTAAGTTTTTAGTGACATGTCCACTAAAGCGGACAACATGCATTTGGACGACATTACAGAAAATGAATTGTATTAATACAAATAATAGAACCCCACCCCAAAAAGGAGTCAAAACAATTAGATTCACATTTTAAAACATTTAAATTCTGTTTAAATGCACATTTCAAAACATGGCTTGTGTCAAACAACAGCAACAACAACTGTCAACTGTGTCAAACGAACTGAAACCATGAGCCTAATTAGGCTTCAGGCCAGGTGCTACAACTTCAGCCAGCACACTCAAAGCAAAAACAAATGCCATAGATTGGATCATTCATGAAAATAATAATTACAATAATAAAAGAAATAGTGCCTTAGTGACTATCCAAACACATTCAGTTGTCGATGCCCTGTACTACATTAGTTCACATTTGAAAAGAAGGCACACAGTGATATTGCATCGCTGGACGATGGCAGTTCCTCTACATTTCTGTACTTCCTCTGGTCCCTCTCTGTGCGTGAACCTTGCATATAATAAATAACATAATGTGAAAAATATTGCACAACCAATCAATCTTTCTTTCTATTTATCTTATATATGTATATATATTTTTTCCATTGTTTTTATAATATTTTGTGCATGCACTGTTAGTAGTGTGTGTGTGTGTGTGTGTGTGTGTATGTGTGTGTGTGTGTGTGTGTGTGTGTGTGTGTGTTACAATGCGTGCACAAAATATATTTTTGCAAAAAATGTTTTATAAACATTGCAAAACTTGCACAAAGGCTGCACAAAATACAATATATACTATGCATGCACAAAATATAAAATACATGCACAACATTAATTTTTTGATACATACAATACAGGTTACCTTTTAATAACATAAAATGGTTGGTTTTAACTGAAAAGGTAAGCTTGAAATCAAGCATTTTGCAGAGATAAGGAGTTACACCATTTGCATGTATTGTAGTAGAAATAGTATAAGTCATGCATGCTGTCCACCGTAGTGGACAAATGGAAAATTCCAATTTCCTCAGAACATAAAAGCAATGCATGGAATTTTGTGCAACTATAGTAATTATTAGATGTTACTTTATCCCAAAATATTTTTTTTACCTGCAGGGCTCTGCTTTTATAAAAGGAAGCAGTGGAAATCCCAGAGGTGGAGGGTCTGTTCTCAGCAGAGGCAGCCATCTTGAATGTTGACGTGTTTTTTCTGCAGTTGCAACACATGGCCACATGGCACCAGTGTTTGACTCATTTTCCAGGGTCTACTGTAGTGGCTAACATGCATTTGTAACATCAAACCTCTATTTTTATAATAGAAAATGACCTTTGAAGATTTGTCCACTGTAGTGACCGTTATACGTGAAAGGGTTAATGCAGTGCTGCCTGAGGGTGTGAAGAGAAACAATGTTTTGATATTCTGAACAGTTCTTGTTCACTGACCTTCAACTCTGCTCAGTTTTGTGTGGAAGTTTTAAAGTTACAGAGTGTTAATGTTAAAGAAAGTGACTAAATAAAATGTGTCTGTCCTCTCGCTGTAATAATGAAGTTGTTGTTATGAGAATGATAAAGAAGATCAGATCTCTGAAAACAAGCCTCCTCTGGTTTCTATCGCTGACTAATTTTATGATCTAATAATTGAGGGAGGCGGTGAGAAGAGCAGATTTATCGGGAACCTGAGACGCTCTCATCAAACACTTATTAAAGATCATATTTCTGATTTGGTTCAAGTTCAGGAGGAAAGCTGCAGTCATAAAAGTTTCAGTCTGAGAACAAAGACACTGTTCTGTTTTTAATCTTCAATCAGGACAAACACACTTGGAAAAAAGATCAAACTGAGCATTTAAGTCACTTTATAGGGTTTCTCTAGGTTTTCCTTCAGACCTGCTGTGAGGGGTCAAAGGTAGCAGAGAGTTCAGGACATGCAGAAGAGGGGGAGGAACACAGGGTTTTCATCCTGGAGGACACTTAACCACATACTGAGGGGCTCTGAGACACATATGACCATGTGATCTACACATTAAGGACCACCCACTCCCTCTGTATCCATGGCACATCACCCGGAGTGGGGTTGTGTGTCTCTCTAGTTCTCATGTCAGTCTAACATAATACACAGTGTCTTTATTTGGAAGGGATACAACTCTACATTTATCAGTCACTGGAAATGAATGGTAAATAGACTATACTCATATAGCAGTGTTTTAGCTTCTTATGAGCCCACACTCAGAGAGACTTACCTCCAGGCAGAGGTAGGAAACGGCCTCAGGCCCCTTAACTGCAGGACCCCATAAAATACCCCAAATCATGAGATTAGTGAAGAAGAACTTCATTTATTACCCAAGTCCACTTTGACTGCTCACTGGTGTTCAGGGAATCCTTGTCAATGAGGTGGCATTTGTACTTTCCAAAAGTCCTGCTTTCAAACTGGAGAATGAAAGATTTATTCTTGATCTGAAAACAATGTGTGCCTTTTCAAGGTGCTGATACAATGAATATTTCCACCCTCTTACTGCTCCCAGAGCTGTTTTGTTTGGATGAGAGATGTTTGATGAGACAATTTCTCTTTACTGACTCTGGCCTTAACCGCAGCGTGTGTTTAGTACAGCTGCCTAAATCATGTTAAAGGTGGTAAAAGCAAGGTAAAAGTTTCTTATGGTCACACAAAGTCATGTTTGGATGTTTGAAGAGTGTAAATTAAGGATTTCAGCATCACAGTTTAGTAAACTGTTTTCTGTAAACTGAGTTTATAGAATGAGAACAGTTTGATTAAGAGACTCTAGTGACCTACAAATCTATTTCAAAGATAGTTTTAATGATCTTATAAAGGTGTAAGTGGTTCTGGTGCAGTCTGTGGCAGCAGAGAGTGAAATCTAACCTGTCTGAGTTCCTGCAGTTCTTTTCTTCCACTGATTCAGACTGACGGTCCAGTGAACAGCAGAAAAATGACTTTATCTCTTTGCTGATTCTCCTGTTTCACAGAAAAAAATGAAAACCTGCAGATTAAACAGGCTAGTATGAGTGGTGTCCATGACAACAGAGGAAAAAAAAATCCACTGAGAAGGAGTGAGATTTTAATTAGATTTCATAGCTCCAAAGTAACATTGAATACATCTGGAATGAAACTGACAGCCTTCACATGAAGATGAGTTGATCAAGGATGAATCTGGGCTTTTAGAGTTGGAGGACAAGACAAAGTTCCCTGTGAAACTGAATATTCAATGATCACACTACAAGCTCTGTGGATGACCCTCTAAAATGAGGATCAGCCACAGTGGGTCATTGCTGAAAAGTCTGGCTGTTCACAGAGTCTGTATGGAAGCAGATTTATGGACTGAAGGGAAACGTGAGGGAGCAAATGATGACCAGTAAACAGGAATAAGCGCCCCCCCCCCCCTTCGAGGCTTCGAATCAACCTCCGGTCCGCTCAGTGGAGGTGGGTCCTCACAGTGGCGGTCTGCAGCTCTGCAGCGAAGGGCCCTGACAGTGGAGGTCTCCAAGTTTCTGTTAAGGTCCTTACACATTCACGCTTGTTCCACCCTTTTTTCACCTTTCCTTAATCCACCTTATAGTTTTTCATTTATTTCTAATCCATTAATCTCCATATGGGGAAATGACAGTCGTACAGTGGTAACCACAATCTAAAGACATTTCTGAAACCAGAGTTTACTGTCCTGCTGCCAGTTTGCATCCATTCAGCTCTGTTGTTGTTCACTTTGACTTGGTTTGATCCTTAGCTCTGAAGTGATTCTCCTTAATAGCGCTCTGCCAGTTTTTGTGATGTGGGTGTGCACTGACATTGACTTGATCGGCTGCACCTGAATGCTTAGCTTTTCTAAGATTTTAATTCTGTTTGACACAAAGAGCAGATTATGTTGGACTTGTAATGTATTGCAGTCACCCCTAATTTAATCCTCCCCCTTTTCATCCACACATTCACACACACATGTACATCTGCAGTTGACCCTGGAGCCTGGAGGATCTTGACATTGTTAGAGATGTCAGCGTGTAAATAACATGTAGATTTATACATACATGAAATCATAATGTGGAGATTATTGTTGGTTCAGTGCTCATTGTTGCCTCAGGAGCTCCTGAAGTGAATAAATACACTTCAGTAACTTACTGTAATAATGACCTGACACTGAAAAATCCTTTATGAACATCACTGTGACTATCAATCCAGATTAATGTAGTTATCCTGACTGTTGAATTCACAGAGGAGGGGAAGTGAAGTGGATATTCAGTGAGGCTGAGGTTGAAATGCTGAGATGATGTGTCTCTATAATTAGGGACTTCATTCTCAGCTGCTAACAGACCACAGATGCAGAAGAAACTGTTTTGTCCTTAGTCTTATCCTGCTTAATATCTGAACTTTAACTCGTATGTCAGCCATCAGGAGAGAGAAACTGCCTCCCCAGGATATCAAGAAAGAACAAGATCGCGGATACAAGCGGCCAAAATGGGTTTCCTTCGCAGGGCAGCTGGGCTCTCGGGAGGCGCTCAGAGTAGAACCGCTGCTCCTCCACGTCGAGAGGAGTCAGCTGGGGTGGCTCGGGCATCTGGTAGGGATGCCTTCTGGACGCCTCCCGTTAGAAATGTTCCAGACATGTCCCACTGGAAGGAGAGATCATGGCCGGCCCAGGACCAGGTGGAGGGATTATATCTCTCACCTGGCCTGGGAGCGCCTGGGAATCCCCCCCGGAGGAGCTGGTGGAAGTGGCTGGGGTGAGGGCCGTCTGGGCTTCCCTCCTGAAGCTGCTGCCCCCACGACCCGGACTGGGATGAGGCGGAAGAAAACGATGACGACGACGACAAATCCTGCCAGAGCATTAGCAGCAGACCTTGACCTGGGTATTGTGACTCAATAAACACATGTCAGAAGTCCCACCCCTTCTTGAGTCTGATTGGCTCAGTGGTCAAATAGTGACACTGATAAGCGCATTTTTGTGCGAAAAGTTCAGCTATTTTAACTGTGACAAAAAAAACCCTGATGCTAGGCTGCATTCAGTTTGAACAGCCCCTCATACCCTGGGCTCTCTTTTCGTGCCCGCCAGTGGTGTGGCAGAGGGTGACGCACCCTCCACAGTGGTATTTTCGTCTGGCAGAGCCCGACGCACATCCATTTTGGTATTTTCGTAGACTGAGGCGCACTGAGGTCCAGCAAGATGGGTGTGGTCACGCGGTTGGGGAAGATGTCAACAGAATCAGCTGGCGCAGTAACATTTTCGTGCTTGCCGGCAGCAAGGAAAGTGTGCTGAAAGCTCGCCGATTCAAACCTGGTCAGCTTTCAGCGCAGGCGGAGCGCAGCTGGTCTACTAGTATTTTAGTAGACCGGCGGCGTAGTGGGCATACGTCACTGATGTCTCACTGACAGGTTTCCACAGTGTCAGGCACATTTCAGTTCAATAAATAATCAACAACAACCAATATTCTGAGTCAGCAAATATATTTAGATCAATAGATATATTCTGATCTATATCTGATCTGATGAGCGTGTTTGCCACGCCGCTGGCGAGGCACAAATATAGAGCACCTGGATCTAAGGGTGTCAGCTACTTTGGACCTGGTTTGAGTTTAGCTGGTCTGACTGCTGTGGCTTCCTACACTCACAAGATAACAACTTTGCGCAAAATTCATTTAAAGCCTATATTTTAATACTACATAGACATCAAGTAAAACATTAAAACTAAAAATATTGTTCTTTCTCGAAAAATGTTTGCTTATTTTGAATGTGGTGTTTGTACAAAGTTGTGGATGGAAAAACAAAACAGGTAAAAAGTTGTTTCAGAGGAACAAACTGGAAAAAAGTTGTTATAAAAGGAACAACCAAATAGGTAAAACGTTGTATAATGCTATAAAACAGCAAGAGGAACATCCTAAACTTATGAAATTATTTCCAACAGGTTAGTAACATGACTGGGTATAAAAAAAAAGCTGTATATCTAAAAGAAAATTGATTCAGCCTTTTGAGGGAAAGAGTTTCTGTCTTTAATCTGAAAAAGTGTCTAGGCCTTGTTGTTTTTTTTTTTCATGCATTGCCTCAAACCTTCATTCAGACCGATTAAAAAAGACGCTGTTTGCTTCACTTCCATTTCTTTGTGTCTCATTGTCTTTTCTCTGAATAGAGACTGTTTTTTCTTCAAATCAATTTCCCTCAGTCCGCCCCTCTCAGCACGAGTTATCAGAAAGTAGCAGACCTCATTATAATTTTA